TACGTACGTACGTACGTCCCTACAGCGGTTGCTGCAAGACGTGGCCGTACCACCGGAGGCGGCACTCTTGCGACTTGTCCGGAATGTCCCGGACACTAAGGCTACCACGGATGCGAGAGTTCCTCATGAAAGTGAAAAAGTCTGATGAAAGTGAGACTGAAAAATGTCACAAAACAATGACTAGTGATACGACATACTGGCTAAATCGATCTGTGTATTGATTGTAAATGTATAAACAATGATAGTCCAAACCAGGGTTGTTACTGCTGTATCAGTAACAACCCTGGTTTGGACTATATATCTGCTGATGCTGATTTTAATGTTATGTGTTGAGCTATTGCGTGTATATCGGTTATCACGATATAAAGTAACCTGTGTTACTCGCTGGTAATGTGGCTTTCCATTGGTGAAAGAATTTTCAAAATCGGTTTAGTGTTTTAGGCGTGAAAACGAACAAAATCACTGTCACATTTATAATGTAAGTTTAGAAGTATGAATTATTCTCGCATTACGCATGCACGTAACAAATTATCGTTAGGTACTAACGTTCAATCAATTCATGTTGTCAACAATCTAATGAGTGAACAAATGACAGCCTTTTTAGCCGACTGCCAAGGATGGGTTATGTTTTTCTTATACAACTGTAAATGATTGATTAAAACTACGTGACTGGTGCTACGTTCTAACTTCAACGAACACGTTACGCATTAAAATCAGCATCGATTGTTGCGGATGCTGATATTAAAAATAATGCTGATAAACTGCTGATGCTGATACAGTCAGTATCATCATACTGATATTCGCAACAACCCTAGTCTAAACAATCTAGGAAATGAAACTGACGTTCTGTAACTGAAGAACGCAACTACGTACGATTTGAACGAAATATAAAACAACTATTTTAATGAAAACTATTTTTGTATAAGTATAAATGTATTCTACAGAGTTGAATTAATGTAATGGGACATTCTTCAGTTTAAATGTCTACATATAATTTAAACAATCGCGTGATTCTGTATTTCTGCCAGATGTCCTAAAACAGTTACATTCTATGATTTTTGTTGGTGACCTATCATTGATGGACCAAAGTTATATTTTTGGATGAAACGTGGTTAAATGCAAACCATACCGTGTCGAAGTCTATGACGAACGATACTCCATCCTTTAGTACAAAAGTGCCTATTAAGAAAGGAGGCCGATTAATTATTTGTAATGCTGGATATGCAAGAGGTTTTGTAGAAAATTGTTTATTGGCGTTCGAATCAAAGAGCACAAAAGAATACCACGAAAAGATAGACTCATATAAATTTAAAAAGTGATTCCCAAATCTTTAGCAAAACTTACCTGACCGATGTGTTATTATAATGGACAATGCCATTTACCATTCGGTACAGATCAATAAGCCGCCAGCAAAACACGAAAAATAAAGCCGAGCATATGGCATGGCTACAGAGAAACGGAGTCCAAGTAGACATCTCTTTTAAAAGAGAAACTAGTGAAATTGGTAGAAGAACATAAACCAAACACACCGAGGTACGTCATTGACGAATTAGCATGGGAGCATGGGCACGAAGTAATAAGGACACTACCATACCACTGCCAGTATAATGCCATAGAACTGAATTGGACTCAAGTCAAGAGTTAGTTCCTTTTCTTACATTCATCATCATTCTCACATTTCTTGTGTCCAATGCATTAAAAAGTATAAAGTATTAAAAACTTTGACTACCTCCTTTAAAACCACAAAAACTTACAACATAATTATGGTAGACTTAGCTAATTGTAATGTTTATTTTGTTGTTCTTCTGTTTTCTTGTTACTATTGTTAATTTACAATAATCTTGTTAGGATACGTTGCGAGATATAATATCGTCCCACTCACTCACCACCCATTCACTACAAAAAAATGAAGAGCCTTTTAACAGAAGCATGTAACCATGTTATGAAAGATGACTGGGAGAAGGTGGTAAAGAAAACTAAAAAATTAACAGCAGAAGACTTCGGAACAGACATTCGTATCGAAAACTTGCGAGAAGGCGAATTATTTTTTGCCTCTGACAATGAAGACGACAGTTCAAAAAGTGAATAAATATTATTAATATTTGTTTCATGTTATCATTATATCTTATTAATACGCATATTCGATCCTTATATCTTGTTTGTATTGTTAGCTATATATGTGTGGTATACAACAGGTATACGGAGTATAATTCTTAATTTTAAAAAGTGACTGAATAGCGACAAGTATTACAATTTTAAAACGATTATGTTTCGTACTTCTTGATGATCGTGAATTCATTTGTAATGCGAATCGAATATTTTCACTATGGTTTCGTAGCCCCAACCCTAAACGTCAACTGTCAAAATGCACCTTTTAAATTGTTTAGACATAAGTATTGATTTGTGTGATTAAATATCGTCAATACGCACACAGATTTGATGATAGGTACTTTATAATAAAGTAACATAAGCCTTAAGATTATTTTTCTGAAGTCGTACAACCCAAATCATTTTTTAAATCACCTTTAATTGGCTAAATGTTTTATATTATTGTCACTATCTCAATGTTAAAGTTGTTGGTTTTCCTTTAAATAAATAAATAAATAAATCATCTTTTTCATTCGTCGTTGCTGGAACAATCACTGACATAACCTTGTAGGCAATCGTAAATTTATCAATAATTTTAATGTGTACTAAAAAGGTTGTATGTTTCTATTTTAGGCAAGAACCAGGTAGTATTTATTTATAAAATATATTCAGCCTTTCTTAGTGAGTTATTGATTGCTAAATATCGAGATTGCCGGTTTTGTGAAACGAAAGTGTCATTAAGACGTCGATCGTTCTAGCTGTCAGCGGTATCAAGCAGTCAAGCTATGTTTTACGGACTATAATAACGTTCTTCAATTTGAAGAGATCAGAGTTTACTGACGACGGCCTTAAGAGTTTGCAATTTAGAATATTAATATGCCAATAATCTAAGGTTTGACATGAAAGAACATCTTGTATGGGAAAATTAAATGTTGTTACCATTACTATTCAACTCATACTTTTTTCCATATTTTCCTCAGCGTTTTAAACTTTCCCAGGACTTCCACAAATATTTCAAGATTATAATAGCTAAATCGGTCTAGCCATTCTCGAGACCAACGGACAGCAATACATTTTAAAGGTGCAACTTTGCCGAGAAAAGTGAATACCTATTTTCGACGTTTATTCAAATTCACGAAACAGACCAGTTTCGTGAACTTGAATAAACGTCGTAAATAGGTATTCACTTTTCTCAGCAAAGTTGCACCTTTAAAATGTACTACATAAATCTATATCATCGTCTACTTATGATGTACAAACAGATTTATCTATCTAAAAGATAACTATAATGGACTTTAAGGGAGCAAGTAGAGATACCAAAATTTTATTTGTTCATCGTTTCAACAATAGTACCTACCTAGTTATCTTGCAAATGTATGCCAGACCAGACAAATATGGTCGCATTTGGATAGCATAGATTATGCCTATATGCATTGAGGAGACTTCATATTTTAAAAGGAAACACCCCTTTATTTAGCAGGCAAGGGCAGGTAGGTGAGCAAATCCCTAGGTAGGTTCTTGATCAGCTTGGCATCAGCACACCATCGAAAGAACGCCGCGCCACGTGATACCTACTGGGTTCCTGAGTCCGGGAGAGCACAATTCGGATATAACGATGATCCGAGAGCGTCTCAACCTAAAGACTCAAGGGTGAAGACGCTATTTAAAAGACGCCCACTCTACGGTGTCGCCCCCTTGCTTCGTTCCTGAGGCATATGTTGCCGGTTCGCAATTATCTACTTGTCCTGGGCGTTACAATGATCTATCTGCCCGGGGCCTCGCAATGGCTAACGCCGCAACTGACCTGGGCAGCCCCATATTTGATGTATTACAGTAATTTTTTAATTTTAACACTACCGCTCAGATTTTGTCCACTAATTACTCCCAGGATAGTAGTTGTAGTTCGAAATAAAGATTAAACAAAGTATTAGTAGTTAAGTAAAAAGTAGTTTTACTTACTACTACTTACTTTTTTTCATTCAAGATTCATTTTTAGTTTTTTAATTTGTGGCCACTAGACATGCTTTGCAATTAACCCACTAGTTTTTTACTCATTAGTTATTTGCAAAGTAGCTACCATACAAGGACCCAACCACAGTCACTGTTGTCACAAAAAATCTTCTCGATTGAACGCATTTTCATTACAAATACCTAAGATCTAACCTTAGATTATTAATCTAATACCTTTAAACGAGCAATTCTTGTATTTATATATATATATACATTAAAAAAAACCTAACAGAGTAACTGACTAGTAAAAGGTATTTTTCAAATTAATTTAGTTATTTTTCAAATATATCTACAGCAGTATACAGAACAGATTACTGTCATACATGATAATGAATCTGGATCACACACTTGGTCAACAATAATCTTGTTAAGATCAGAGGTTCGTATAACTTTGTCTTTACACAACGCTATTGCTAAGTTAATATGAATTCGACACAAACACGTCTCTCTGGCGGCAACAGTTATGACTTCCATCCTGCATAAGTGTAAAAAAAGTGTAGTGTAAAAAAGAAAGGCTCGGATGTCTTAATAAAAGCTGTTATTGCTGTAGCGCAGTGTGTACCCCGGTGAGGGGACAGCCCATGTATGTACCCATGTAGCCACACGTAAAAGAATAAAAGTGGCCGCTAGAGAGGCGCAGGAGGGAGGGGGTAACCCCAACGTGCATCTTTTTACAAAGTTATGTAGGTATACTCTGTCAGCTTGCAATATAATTGTAGGGCCTCAATCATGTGCAATATCAAGTGATTCGGTAAGATTGTTAATGCAATTTTACATATATAATTTATCCCGAATTCCTACATTAGTTTTTGATTCTTTAAGGTTTTAAATTATGCTTTTAGCTAGAGTACTGATCTGAAAAGATAATTAAGTAAAATAAAACTACGAACGTGTGCATACAACTATAATATTCTTGAGTTAAGCGGGTCTACCATTTTTCCAGCCATGAGCGCCACGTGAATGTTAGCATCCATAACGAAGTAGAGAAAAGGATATGTAGCAGAAAATACAACTGGATCTCGATTTGTTACGTACCCTGCAATAAAAATTATGAATTAAGGTGCGTCCAAATTTTGTCAATGTTTTACCACTGTTGTCGGCAATATATCTAATTACTCGAACAGGTAGATTTTGCAATATTCTAATACGGTCCCTATATCAGATTTTTTTAAGAAGGGCGACGATTTTTTATGCGATCGTCATAATCACATATATGATAGCCGAAAATACTAAGATATCGGTGGCATAGGTGCATTCCTTTTTAGCTAGTATCTTCATATCTCGTACATAGCAACTGTTACGGCTGTTCTCACGCTTGTAGGTACCGTTTCGTTTTATTTTTAATCTAATCTTATTTAAAAAGTTTTCAAAGTTAGCTTCAGATATTCTTGTGAAGTCACAAGAATATCTGAAGCTAACTTTGCAATCTTGTGAAAATTCCAATGATTATAGACTCAGAATGATGGTCTGAATACACTACTATTTGAGTATTCGTTACGATGTCCCTTACACCCTATATATTCTTAATTTTTTGTTAATTAAAATATTTTGATAATTTAAAAAAAATAGCAGCGATAACCGTTATATGGAGTATGAAAAAAATCGTAAATAATTAGTACCTACTATTAACCATCTGTGAGAATATTACGGTTTTCCTTTCGCTTGGTACAGAAGTAACTCGGGTGTCATTTTTGTACATAGTAATAACTAATAGAAGGGAATAGGGCAGGAGCGGAGCGGGCTTATCATAATAATAGTATAATTCATTACTCCACACTGACACCACATTAGTAGTATTAGTAGTGTCTACATTGCACCCGTGCGAATCCGGGGCAGATCGCTAGTATTTAATAAATTGATAACATTAAACGAAAAAAATCTTTTTGGTGTAAGATATTCTTTTGATCTGATTAACTAGGTTTACATTAAAGAGTTGGAAACATAGGTATCTATTAAAAACCTCTTTCAAAACTACTAATTAAATAAAAAGTACTAAGTGTTAGTACTAGTCCTCCTTCTTAAACGTTTAAGAAAGTACTAATAAACATGTAGTGCCTTTGGCATGGTCGCCGAAAACAACGTAGACGACTTCTTGGCAGCTGCTGCAGTTGCAGGGCTGCTTCATTTATGGATATAATTAGAAGTACAGCAAACCTCAGTAACCTCAGTGGTCCAGACGGTTTATCATAATACGATACAGCATGTATGATATCTAATGGTACATGACTTATTTTATTGTACTTATTGGTAATTTAATTTTTATTGTAATGAATTGTAGTAATTATTGTTTGTGTTATTTTGTAATGTTGTGATTTTGGTATTTTGCAATTGTGTAATTTTATGATTATGTAATTTTGTCTATGAGTTTATAGCTCAAATAAATGATTAATTTTATTGTAACTGTAATAGGTAACGTATGATAGATATTATGGACATATTGCATACGCTACTTTTTGTCACCGAAACATACCTCTAGCGGGAAATCATTGGACACAGGGAAAACTGCGGCACTTAAATATACACATTTCATCTTTCTCGATGAGTCTTGTTTTTTTGTATTATAGCTATTATTAAATACCTACTAATAATGATTAATCATTTATTTATTAAATTACGACTAGGCTGTTTCTGTAGGTTGGCACTAAAATTTGCCAGCGGATTCGCTACTTCTGGATGAAAAGTATCCGATTATCTCTTCTAGAAATATTTATATGTATATGATAGCGATGGTGATGATGTATGAGATTATTTATTCTATGTAACTCAAAACTACATTTTAGTTGATTGTTGGGGAGCAAAACATTGAGATAATTATGTCTTAGAGACAATCTGGAAAAGAGCCATCAATTCTGTACTTATACCAGGAATTTGACCTTGTTGTGAACCCAATTTTTTTTTTTTTTTTTAATAAAAAAAGACTAGGAATAAATCCTGTGTCGCGGGGGACTTTACAAACATACATGAAACGGACACAAAGTACACCCAGACTCAGAACAACAATTTGTGAATCACACAAAGTGTTGTCCCATGTGGGGTTTGAACCCACAACACTCGGCGTAGTAGGAAGCGGCGTGGCGACCGCTTAAACCACTACGCCATCCGTGCAGACAGTGCAGTCAAATGTATACCTATCTGATTTTATTCATTTTTGGTAATAAAAGTCCTTGAAAATTAAATATACGTCAGGATTTCCTTATCATAAAAATCAAAACGAAATAAGCCAACTGTAGCAACAGGAAATAATCATCTAGTTTTTTTTTTCATCTAAACTCATTTATGTAATTGAAATGGCGGGACTATCAGCAAATCACAATTTTCATCTCGCGATTAAGCATTGAGGTCGGTGTGGTTGCGGGTGATTTCCCTAATTGTCGATGGTGAGAGAGCAGCGCGGGGGCGAACGGCGCATCAATGGAAGCAAATGCGCGTGTCGCCGCGTTACGCCATCGGCCGCACGAGACAATGGATGCGATGTCGGTCGGCTCTAGCACTTGACACCTTAGCTTTGCACATTTTTGGTAACAATTATCCCATCTCCTGTACCGGAAAACGAGGACACGTAATATACCTTCGCACATAGTTAACATAAGATTGTTTTTATAGCGAAGCAATTACTTTATTGCAACGGTGTCGAAATCATATAGGTATAAATGACGCGGTCTTATAGCAACTCTCTAGGCTTTTCACACATGTACCACGCGGCGTTTACGGTTGTCAATTCAATTAATTGTGGAAAATCAATTTTGTAAGTTTTCGGAGCGCATCAATGTCACTCAAGGATTTTCCGGTGGCGGCGGACGCGTATCACGATGCGTCGGTGCGTGACGGCGACGAGTGACCCCAGACTTGTGACCACGTACGAACCTACAGCCACGGCATCCACCACGATAGCCAATTAAATGGATCAAGCCGGAACGGCGTTTACAGGGATTTTACTTTGTAGCCTCCATTTGTAAGTTTATCATGGCGTCATTGTTTTGCAAGTTTAAATTGGAACAGTTTTGGCTAATTGTTTAAAGATATATGTAGTTCTTTGCTTTAATATAAAAGCTAAAGCTCTTAATGTAAAATACCAATAAAAAAAACCAGCCTATGAAATGAACGCTTTGCATCCGAACACCTTCACGGTCAATCTAAAAAATGTTGCAATCTTACATCTTGAGTAAATTATAAAATCAACAGGCATTCTGGACAGGACAGGAATTTGACGGGAATTAAATGTGTGATGACTAATTTTCCCATAGAAAGAATTGTAAAGACACTTACGGTGTTTCTTCTGATCATCGGGTCTATACTTCCGTATGGCGACGGATACGGCTTGTTCTATGCTGCGAACGTAAACACCAGCTTGTTTGGTCATTGGAGTGAAATCCCTTTGTCGCGGTTCAAACACGTCTCGAATTCCCAGCTGTAAGGAGAAGAGAATTACGTAGGTACATCGCTTACTTAACTTGAAAATCCTTTATTTGACCATTTGAAGGTCAATGTTATTTTAAAGTCTACTATTTTACTCGAAATATACATTTTTATTACAACAAAATTAGGTAATACGTGGTAGACGGTAACTAACATGTTAATGATATGCAAAGCTGATTATTATGTTAATAAATCATTATCTAAGCATTATTTTTGTATTTTGATACTAAAAACAATAGTGTAAATCCTGTAACTACGTCTTGTTAGATGAGTAACGTTACCTACTTATAGTCTAAGATCCGGCTGCAGAATTAGAACACTCATGGAGTGTTTGCTAAAAACCAAATTTTTACGCATATTTATGATTAGGAGAATATATATCTACAAGGTTGCCTACTAAACTGTGGCCGCTAGTATTTTTAATAAAATTAATGGTAATTGATTTATCAAAAAAAAAAAAACATTCGTTTGTTTTTTAAATAAAATATCGTCCACTTCACGACAATAAAAAAAGAGACTGAAAAATCACGGTTGCCGTTGCGCACCACCGGTGCAAGCAGTAGTAGGGACGACTTCATAAAAACTCCAAAAGAAATGTCTGCCTTCTAAATTTTATTTTACGTTAATTAATTTGATAATTTTTAGATGCACAAATAAAACAACAATATAAAACCCTACAGACGTCGCGCTGTTGGGGGTGATCGCCAACGCATTCAATAGCCTGCCATTCAGCTACATCAGCGAGGCACTCTACTATCAGAGTACTTGAAGTGGCTAGTGGCTCTCATGTGTGAGAACCAAGATGAATATCTGAGGCGCCGGCTCTTGATGCGCAGTATTCTACAAATGTCTGTTCTTGGAACCCTCTTGTGGAACATAGGGTAAGGGAGACAGCCTGTTTCAAGAGGCGGCGTGCCTGGCCACCAGGTATATTTCTCTGTTAGTCGGGCGGTTTTTTTTAAAATAGACAACTCGAGCATTAGTAATATATTCTGTGTCGAGGGAGAATTTACAAATATATTTGAGACGGACACAGAACACCTAGACTCAGAATAACGATTTGTGGATGACAAAAAGTGTTGTCCCATGTGGGGATTGAACCCACAACACTCAGAGCAGTAGGAAGCGGCGAGGTGACCGAGGCCCTTTTATTTAATGGGCCCCGCCGTGGTCCATACCCTGGCGCCTAAATCGTGATCAACTCAGTCCTTGTACCCGTTTAAGACCAGATTAACGGAAGGTGGCTCTTCAACGAGCATTTCCGACAGCTTGCTCTAAAACTGGTCGGTGCTGCGTTTGCCTTTGAGCGACTTTTGCCCAATTTAGGTGGACCCAGCGTCGCGACAACACAACTGTACACGGGGCCTGTCCGGTCAATAGGTTTCCGCACCGGTGCACCGTATAGGGCCGGTGACTTTGACCGCCCAGATTAGGGCGCGCCTCTGGCGCCCTCAGAATCGTCTACAGAGGTGGCGTGAGTGTTGGCCGGCACACCCCCTTGGGATTTGGAGGCAGAAGTATATCGGCGGACAGCTTTCTGGGTAAGTACGCGAGTGGCGTGAGGCCGCTCGCCTAGCCACGGAGTCTCCACGTGTTGGCTTTGCCGCCGTTCGTTAGCACGGGATCCTTTCCTTCCAACTGACGCTGGTCCTATCTGGGTACGGCTACTTCGGGAAATACTTGCACCCGGTTACTAGGAGTGAATTGAATAATTTGCCCAGCTTGGGCGTCTTCATTGCTGTCATCAGAGAGGATCTCTCGCTGCCGGCCAGATGTTACGCGGAAGGAGGCGGCCGCGGAGAGGGCTCGGGAGGAAGATTTTTACTCGGACCTAATTCGTAACCGGCGAACCGGGTGGCGGAGGCGCGTATTACAAGGCCTCATGCCGCCCTGAGCGATGATTAGTAAAAAACTTACTTACTTACGTCAAAATTACTAATATAAAAATCGCTATTGGAATATTTCAAAAATCTATATTCACAAAGGTATATTTCACGAAGCGTTTAGTAATTTTTCAAATGCAGATGTTGAGGTATTCGGTAAAATATTGTTATTTTTGTTAAATTTTTCAGACTTATTTTCTCCGTGTATATGTTTTTTTTTCTCCAAAAAAACTTTGGGCTAATGCCGCCCTAGGCTCCAGCCTATTAATCTGCCATTGGTTCTCAATATTAATCTTTGTAAACCGTCATTTGTGAACCGATTTCTTATTTCAAGAAGAAATTTCAACCCTAAAGGTGAAAATCAAGGAATAAAGTATACGGTGTCAATCTACCTAGTTTTAAACGAATCCTTTCTTTATTATAAAGATATTTGCTCAATCGAGGTTTCCGTTTAAGCGTTCTTTAAATTTCATTTAATTTCTTTTTTGTTATTAAAATAACTACCAAGTATTGTTTACACTGCAAAATTACAAATTGTTTATGATTAATCTTGTCTATCGTTATCGTATCGTTTTATCATATCTTTTTAATTATGAACTTAAGATATTTGTTCCACATGTAAATTTTTATTCAAATTTGGGTTATTTTTAATGATTTCATGATATTGTAATATAAATATGTTTATGTTACGAGATTCATCAAGCTGAACCGTAAAATTATACGTACGTATGTATCTAATGTATATTATAGATATTAAATTATCAAATATTTTCCGCAATATAGCAAGTAAAACTGAATGTATACATATGTAAAAATTATAAGTTGGTACAGCAAACAGCATAATTGTGGTTGTGGATATTACAACAGTGTTACTATTGTTAACATTGTTATAATTTCAAATGTCATCATTACTACAACATTTTACCTAGGCTGCATTATTTAAACTAGATATACATGTTTTTTTAATAAAAATTCGCAATAAGAATAATTATCTAAAGGATGATAGGTGATTAAATGATGATCAAACTAATCTCATTATTTTTTTAAATGTGAAAAGTGCCGTTGGAGGCGCTTGATGAGAATTAAATAGACTGCTCACCGATTTTAGGTTTTAATCTTCAAAGAGCTTTGCATCAAACAAAGACTTTTGTTGATTGGGCAAGTACGGACATATAGTCCGCAACAAGAGCTCATTGGAACCATAAGAGTCAGAAGATAGAGTGAACCTTCTCGCGGCCAATTACCAACAAGTTGCACAGACTTAATTTAATCACCTGAAAAGTTTTTTCTGATAGGCCGCAGTGTTTGACTACTTAGAAAGAAAGAATCGCGCCGAGCGCTAAACTTAAAGCTATCGTCAGATGACCTATCTGAAAAACCTCGGCATTTGGTAAAATGTTTTTTTAATCGACGGCACCCCGCAAGGTCCATCAATCATAGTAATTAATAAACAAAAAAATATTATCTCAACAAATCTTTACCTTTTGTAAATCTGTGGTTAAGGTAACATGACCTTTCACAATGAAGCTTGGCACAATCCCTTTTACTCGTCTCGGTCGCAACACGGAGTATACGTCTGACAAATCAGATTCCCTTGCCATTCGCGACAGTAGTCGCCCTATTTCTGGTGAACCTGGTCGTGTTGGCAGTACCACTAGCAAATAGTACCGATCGCTATCTAACGGCAATCGTAGTGCAGAAGCCTCTAAATGAGGTAGGTATGCATGCTCCAGTACCGTGTCATAGTGCATGTATGTCACCTGTTGAACACAAATTATTCGTTTAAATTCCCCGTAATGAACCTTATAAAGTAACCGCTGTAGCGAAATCATAATACAAATTGTTATGTAGTTACGCTAACCATTATAACTAGTCAGAATGCATTATGTTGCGAAGGAACTTGCGACGGTGAAATTACTGCGGTTCGTGAGCTTGTTTTAAGTGTGAATACCTATATAGTTACTACTAGTCATAGTTTACCTTATGCAGTGGTTACAATTTGTTATACTAAAAAAAACCTTTTAAAATTTATATTGCACTGAGTCAGTGCTTTGCCAAAAGTCTAAATCTAAACATTTGGAGTCCAGTAGGCGTATTAGTTTTTTGAGTAAAGTAAATACAGATAAATCAGCGTTTTAATATTATTAAGGCTAAAATATATTTAAAAAAAACAAACCTGTATATTTTTCAGCCCGTTTGCCAAAAACATTTTGTCGTCAAAATTTGTTTTAGTTCCTTCTGAACCTATTTCGTAGGATCTATAATACAAGTCATAGTCATCACCGTAAGGAGGATTGGTAAATATAAAATCAACGATTGACCTTTTCTTACGTTCTAGGGTCTCTAACATGGAATTGTTTGCCTCAGTTGTCACAGAGTTGGTAACTGTAGTGATATCGCTCATTGTTGAAGTGACATCAGTTTGCTGAGAATTTTCTGTAGAGGTAATGACGTTTTCCGTTGGGCTTTCCACATTTGAATTATCCGTCGTTGATTGAATTGTGCTTGGTATTGCATCATCCGTCTGTGTTGTGCTTGTTGAGGCGTCAGACGTTGTCATTTGAGCCGTGCTCATATCTACAGATGATGTGTCAACTTCGTTGTTCGTTGTCGGCTCATTTGTTGAAGAAGCAAATGTTGTTTCAGAATTTATTACTCCCCTTGGGGTAACTGTTGTCGTATTTTCCTGTGTTAAGATTGTTGTAGGCTGTTCGGGTGTTGGTGTTTCAGTTTGAGGTACTGTGCTCTGTATGTTTGTCACTGCAGTTGTCATATCAGTAGCACTTTCACTGGTAGTAGTTTCAGTTCCAGCAGAAGTCAAAAGAGTACTTGCGGCGTTAGGCGCAAGAGAAACACTGGCTTCAGTTGACGTATCTCCCCTTATATCAATCGTACTTATTGTTTCAGCATTTGGATTTATTGTAGTAGTAGTCTCCTCCCTATTTAGGGGAGTCACGAGTACGATTTCGTCACGAGATGGTTCGTCAACTGACAGCATGGCGGTTGTTGAACTGTCTCCGGAACTCGAGGGGCTCATGGTCGTAGCTGCTGCACTCGTTTCATTCGACGTATTGTTTGTTTCTGGCGAAAGTGTTGGCAGTTGATCGTTTTCTAAATCAAAACCGTAAAACCGTAGAATCTTTTTATACTGATCATTGAATGTGACGTTTTCATTGTTTAAAGCCAGACCTGCTAGAAATCCTTCCTCGGGTACGAAGTACGTCTGAAATTATACAGTCGATCAAATTATGCAATCTCAAGTACTTTTGTTATTTGTGTCAGTTTTTCTTAATAAGTATAATGTTTAACAAGTAATTTGAGTTTTATAAAGGAAAGTGTATGGATAATATAAATAGCAATTTTTTTTTAATAATGATTATATTGAGACATTAAACGATCTTGAAAATCACTTGTTTTAAAGGTAAAATATTTTGAGGTAGGTATACTGCATACCGGAGAGTTCTCCAAAATGCGAATTATGGGCGAACCTCACGAAAAGAGGAACATCCTGCTCAGCGTCATGACTGAGTGATTAAAAAACGTATTGTAACATTACTTAAATGTTTTTGCAAACGAAATTTTGCCCCCGGGTTTGCTCGAGTAAAAGTAATTCAGTGCGTTTTTCTATGTAGGTATCCCTGTTCAATATAAACTGTACACAAAATGTACTAACATTAAAATTAATAAAATTCACGGCTATAGGGTGATGATAAATATTTTAAAATGATCTTTTTAAAAAATTTAAGAGAGAAATTAGAGCACTAATTATGCGAAACAAATATATTAGATTGAATGTAACCAATAAACCAGTTTACAAGTTTAGGATAATAAAATTGAAAGATCTAACAATTATATTAATAATGTCATTTTATTATTTATAAAACGGTTCATTTTACGCCACTTCCGCGCAGATGTCATCACGACGACTGTCTGACAAATATACCTACGTGGTAAATACACTGTTATAATGTATTCACACTGGCGTTGGTGGTAAAGGTATATTTGTATTTACGGACATCTAAGCAATTTTAGAACTTTTAGATTTGATTTATAAATCATATCATCACACCTGTAAATGATTTACAAAACCACTGTGTCACTTAATTATTATTATTACGTTATTATTACGCTAGCGACAGACTCGCGAAAGGTCTGAATCTAAAAAAAAAGTCATAATCTCCGATAAAAAGAATTTTGACTGATTTGAATGGCATTTATCTTTGTCTATGAAGAAATCACGATCACATGTGAAATCGCTGACTAAAGCAATCATTTCATCAAATGAATATGATTTAAAAATAGTAATAATTTCCATGTCTAGTCATCATTACATTGGAGAATTTTTTGCAAATTTGAACGGGTTTGGTATACTAGGTACCAATGTAAATAAATTTACAGTCATAAACTTTAGTGGTGACGGATTAAGAATACAGAGTGTCACCACCCCTATTCACCCGTGGGTGTCGTAAGAGGCGACTAAGGGAGCAAAATACGCAGGACAACAGCACTGCAGAGAGAAGGAAAACTTGACACAAACCCTATACCAACCCGTCTGGCCAGCGTGGTGTAGTAGGCCAAAACCTCCTTTCTAAGGAGAGGCTTATGTCCAGCAGTGTAGTAAAGGCTGTTGATGATGATAATGATGATGAAACTTTAGTGTCTAAGTTCTAGCTTCTGGAACCTAAAGATATTCAATGAATATGAAATCATTTTTTTTATAAAGACAACTCCCGCACTAGGAATTTACTTTGTGTCAGCGGAGTCAGTGGTAGCGTATGCGACTGCTTTGCTGAGGTCTCAGGTTCGATTGTCGGGTCGGACCAAATGTTTATATGATCTTCAAATATTTGTTCCGGAGTTTGGGGGTTTTCTATGTTTAATATGTACATATGTATTTACAGACAAATATTTATACATATAAGTATTCTATCAGTCAATCTAGTTCTCATAGTACAAGCTCTCCTCAGTTTGAAACTAAATGGCGTTGTGTTGCAGATGTCTGAGTATTATTATTATGCATGAAATGGACACAAAGAACACCCATACTCAAAACAACAATTTGTGGATCACACAAAGTGTTGTCAGATGTGGGGATCGAACCCATAACTGTGTCGTCTCCAGTCTCGACCCGAAAGTCTTGGGACCCGAGACAACTAAATTTACAAAAAGTCCCAAAACCAAACCCAAACCCTACCCATAACCCTCAGCACTCAGCGCAGTAAAAAGGGCGAGGTGATCACTTAAACCACTAGGTACGCCAACCACCTCGCCAGTAGTTCAAATCTAATACATATATATGTACACTTATCAAGTTTTAACGTTAGTTTGTTGGAATACAAAATTTCGCAAACTTCTTTAACGATCACTTTAAAACATACCTAGACAACGTTGTATTCATTTACACGTATGTTCTTAATTAATGAAGAGAATCTGTATTTAAATCTTTATTAGTGAGTAAGAATAAATAGCAATACGAATTCATGTATCTAAGTAATACCAGAATTAGTTAAAATTTTAGAGTATTTAAAAGAACTAAAACTGGCCAAGTGAGTGTTGGGGTAAGCGTAGGTAGTGTATCGTTTTGTACTTTATTCCAGTAAAAAGAGAGAATGCCAAGGCTGTAAAAGTTTTTTTTGAAGACTGCATTCACCCCTTTGTCGATGTAGTCGTATCAGAAGTTGCAGACTAAACCACTTGTAAAGTATGTACTTTACGTAACGTACGTACAAAGACGTAATGACATTCTTTTAAATTAGTATTGAAACAGTTTTACAATATTTTATGTGTAATTAAACTAAATAATATAATAATTAAACTTTAACACTCACTTTTAACGTGCGGTGTATGTCACGGAATCCTATTCTCATAATATTTCTATTCCAGGGTAGCTGCATTCCTCGTTGGATCTGATAGGAGGATTCTCCGTCCACACCCTCGTAAAGCGCCACCATAATCCCCATGAGTCCATAAGGCGAAAAAGCAATATTATTATCGTTTAAAAAATTATGTTCCGCAAGCACTTTTAAACCAAATTCATTTGTAACGTCAACCATGTGAGCTAAAGGCGTTCGGCCCGTGTCCCATAACTTTATTTCTATGGGAATGCCGTATTCTGAAGAAGTCGTGAGTGCCAAACACGCGCAAAGGTATACGAAGCGCGAGAGTACATTAGTTGTGTGAAAAGTTAGCGTGCGTCTGTCTCCACGCATGGTGTTCGCGGTTGTGAATGGTTGTGAACGCGCCTGGGCCGGCACACTGCCCGCGGGTCTGTCAAGTTACTTGGACTAATCTTTGTGGCTAATTAGCATCAAGACCCCAATTATTTCGGTGAATGCCCTCCGCAAATATCTGCAAAATGTTTTATGTTTCATTGTTGTTTGTAAATGGTGTAGTAAGTATAAGGTGGTAGGTACACCATTGATAACATCCTTTATGAGGAATGTCTAGAGATGATGCCTATTTTTCGTACTTATATAAAAAAATGCTCGGGAGATATATATATATATACATCGTATATACATATGTATATCGATGTTTTTTATGAAAAAAATACGTTAGATACAAGCGGCTCGTACTTCGTTATTCTACTCGGTAGAAACATCCTCTTTGCCGGTGAACCATGTCACAAGAAACTGTTATTAATTAAGTACCAATTATGTTTCTACTTATATTGAAAATTAGACACGAAACATAACTTAAAGCAGATCAATGTTTATGAAACTCTTACATTTCGTTATTTCAACCGGTTGTTACAGTGAACATTAATTTACCGGTATAAACTTTTACTTAGTTGTAATGAGACAGGACAAGTGGTATGTGGCCCAGATCCAAACCTACGCAATGTATAATACTTAATTAATTAATTTACAGGCAACCGACAGTTATTGTACATAAAAGAAACAAGGGCAAAATTGTAGCAAAAACTGGCTTTTTTTTCTTTTGAGAGACGCAGACCAAGTTATGCGAATCAGCTAGTTATGAATAAATTACACCCAAAATAGAACAAATGATTGTGCTCATCACACAATCATTTGTTCTAGGTGGGAATCGAACTCACGACGTCAGGGTCACTAACCACTTGACCAAGAGGCCCGTCAGAGTAGATTTAAAGTATACGGTACTTTGTCTCGTCAGTAAACTTTAAATAATTACCTTATTAGATAAACGCGCTATAACGCGCTATAACTGGACACCGACTTCCTCACTTGTTTTATGTCTTTAATAATGCTACCGGTATTAAACTATCATCATATACCTATTTTTTATTTTTACTAAGACAAGTGTTCTAAACTGTTTGAGTACTATTTAAATTCATTTGTCTTTTTCCAAAATTTAGACATCTTTTTAGTGGGTAAAAAATTCAATACCCGAGAGGCAGTACAAAATGCCTTTGAAGAGTTTGTTGCCTCCCGTCCAGCTGATTTTTACAAGAAGGGCATCAATAAACTGCCAATGCGTTGGCAAAGATGCGTCGATTGCATGGGTGATTACTTCGAATAACAGAAATAAAAAAGTTTGAAAAAATAAGTACTTTCACTTATTGCATACAAAACGGCAATTTCATAGGTAAAGACCTATTATACTTACTTATATACATGAGTTAATATACCTGCATATAATTTATCCCTTTTAGGTAGCAAAAGACACAAGTCCTCGAAATTCTTTTCAAATCCAAAAATATTTTGGTTTAAGCGTTATAATAATATAGCGGTCGGACTAAAACTGGGTAACAAAAACACATAAAGTGTTTATTTTTAATTAGCTATCAAAACAAAAAAAAAGGAATTAGAAAATTTTATTTAATAAGCAGTTCGCTAATTGGATCGGACAGATTATCTACTATCTCTCTACCAACCATGTAGCTTCCGTCTGTCGCAAAGCGAGATAGTCCGTGTCAGAGGCGTAGCGTTTACTAGTATAGACATGTGCGAAGTCGCATCAGCAAGGCCCCTTTTCTTTCGTACCCAAGACAGGTGTCGAATACATCTCATGATAGTGAAAAAAAAATGCGCAATGACAGAATATTCGAAAGCCTACGGATTTGAAAAAAGGGTTTATTTTATTACTTGAGTGATTTAAACTCTTACTACTAGTAACTTCGGCTTCTAGTACTTCGGCTTTTTGCTTTACTGAAATCCTCTGGTAAAGACTTGTAATAAATGTTTGCAGCTAAATCTGTTTCAGTGGAAAGTATTGCTAAAGCAAGCAGTCGGACCTGCTTGAAACTGTTTCTTAAGTAGTTTTTTTAACTTAGAAGTATTTCTAAGTTAAAATTGATGCCCGACGATGCTTCTGCTAGTTAGGTGCGGCATTGATCCGAGAGGGACCTGAAACCACATGGTCCGAGTTGAGCGTCTGAGGCCGGACGTCGGGCTTGTTTTTAGGGGAAACACCACATACTTCAAACTCCTACGTCTCCAAGACGACTGAGGTCCAAGGAGATTTCACCCCGTCAACAAAAAAAAGGCCCTTAGTTAGTAGTAGCCCAGGGCGCCAAAAATTTGGCCCTCTGTTGAGAATTGGCCCTCTGTTAGACCGTTCCGTCTCTTTTTACAAAATAACTCTCATATATAGCATAAAAAAAGACGTTACACATCAAAAGTTATGATAATTCTATCAGTATTACTGCTTAATATCTCACAAAATGCTTGTGAATATCCGACCAGTTTAATTTGGCTTAAGACTGTCTGTAAATGTTGCCCTAAGCAGCGCAGAATATGCGCTAATCCCTGTTTCACAATTCTAATAATTCGCTGCTGAGCTAAAATTTCGAATGATTTACAAATGTTTAAACTATGATTCAAACCAATTCAAATACGCTGTAAGAGGCACAGAGATATAAGTATAGAGTGAACAAGAGACTGCTTTTTTTTTTGCCAAACTGTTAACTATTTTTTATGAAAAGCTGTAAATTCAAAACGAAAAATGAAGCATTGTTTTCAATGCAAAGAGGTTTACTCTCTTCTGAACAAAGGTGATTTTTACATGCAAGTTTAAGTTTAACCTCAATCATATTCATTTTGACGTAACAACGTCTTATAAATTGGTTTGCCGGGTGACACTTCAAGAAACTGCGTTACGCTCCGCTCACGTTATGCGCTCACAATGAGAGCGAGTGAGAGGCACGCGTCGTTAATATGAAATTCAGTGCGAGATTCTTTGTATAAATTAATGTTTTAAATATAATTCTTTGTATAAATAAATGTTTTAAATTGTTACTATTATTTCATCCTTCTTCCTACTATACGAATGAATATTCACATTAAAATTATTTTACCACTCAAAAGTCGTTGTCACGTAAAACTTTCGCCCGTATACCGACTTTACAGGCAACCAATTTTTTTATTCCAATTATTCTTTAAGTGTGTGTAATTTCTCAGGGTTCCAAAAGATGCTGTTTTATTATAGGTAAATATTTACTTACTAATAAATAGGTATTCGAATGGCACACGAATCACAACTTACAATTGATTCAAAGAAACGAGTCCGGATGCGAATCAATAAAATTACTATTTTTGATGGACAGTAATATAATATGATAGTCGTACACGTAAAATAAGTTTTTTAGACTTATAATATATATATTTTTAATATACTGTATCTCATTTCTTTCTTCGGTTGAACTTCATTTATTTATTTAATTTTATGTGATTAAAAAGGTAAAACGTTTATTTATAGACAATGCTTTTATTTTATATTTTAAAATATAGTTTACCTTACCACTTGATGTTCCAAATTTAAATATTTTTTTTATATACAATGTTGGTTACATATTATTTACCAGTTGAGGCTATTCAGTTTAAACTGCTGTCGTTCAGAATTCTCGCCAACTATATACTTTTGCACGGCTTTTAAATGTTTACCTTAAGCTTTTGAATTATGTGTTTTGTATACATTGTTTTTGAATTGTTCACACCCAATTTGTTTGCGAAATTTCTAACCGATCAAAACCATGCCCACTTCACGATAACCCATCTCAGCTTAGCTAAACACCGGAGGGAACTATCGGGCATCCATCTCTTTTGTTCCCTTTATCGCTTACACCACGGAGCAAATACAAAGAGTAGCGGGCTTAAGCAAATGTGCTCTATGATTTTAACTAGATTCTGACGTCATCATAGTGGATGTGGCTTAAAATTAGTACACTCAGCGTCCGTACTATGCACTTGTGACGCAAAATTGCAAATCGGTATATTTTCGTGCTATTAAGAAGAAAATGATGAAATTTTGTATTTATAGTGATAAAATAATTCGGATAAATGTTTTGTTGTGTGTGGCATCCCATTTTATTTGTTAGAAATTTTAAACTTAATTTATTAAATTAGTTCTAAAAAAAGTTACATCTATTCGTCACTAGATGACTAAACTTTGTGTAATGGTAACTAAAAATACAAAGTTACGTAGAGCTAAGTTTTAGTAAAATAATACTTTTGATTATGTCGGGTAAAATAATACTGGAATTTGTTCTGCAATGAACAATTCTGCAGAACAAATCAAAAAATGAAATGAGAGTTATAAAATGAAATTATTTAGTGAAATGACTCTCATCTGATCTATCGTCAACTAAAAAAAGCGTTTGTAATGCATTCAGATGCCTAATTAGACAATAGTTAAATAATTTTATTTGATTTGTAAATAAAATTACACTCATTATAATCTGTAAACCAAATTTTATCCAAATCTGTTCAGCCATTGCAGCGTGAAAAATAATAAATACGAATGTAATATGAGTAATATTTTTGTAATAGATTTAAGTATCAAGATGCTTCACAAAATTAGTTTAAAATAAAACTCACTGGTACGAAAATTCTAAGCACATCCCTTACGTCCTAGCCCTACCGTGTGATGGCAATTTAGGCATTAGGAATATATCCTGCGTCGCGGGGGACTTTACAAACATACATGAAACGGACACAAAGTGGATCACACAAAGTGTTGTCCCATGTGGGGTTTGAACCCACAACACTCGGCGTAGTAGGAAGCGGCGTGGCGACCACTTAAACCACTCCGCCATCCGTGCAGTCAAACTAAATGGCAACAGCGATATAAAACGATGCGAGTAGTTTTGTTCTTATTTGGGAGATGGAAAATAGTGATTGAGCACATTGCCAACACAACCAACTATGGTAAGAAAAATATATTATATGAAGGTATAAAACTTTATAATGAAATACCTGATGATATTACTAAAAGTGATAACTTGTATAAATTTAAAAAAAAATTAGGAGATTACATTAGGATAAAGTACTGACTCTAATGAAGTTGTCTGTATATCTTTAGTTTTGTACTACTGTAATATGTGTTTTATACTACTGTGTATTGAGATCACAGAGATACTTAACTAATTTATTGTGTTGTTACATTTTCTCATTATGTAAGTGAACTGTATTGTTCTTTTTATGAGAAATAAATGTCTCTAAACCGAACTTCTCCTCCTTGGATTTGGTACGTGAGTACTGAGCTTTACCCCGTGTTCACTCTATACTTATATCTCTATGGTAAGAGGTGAGTCCCTTAAATTTCTAAGTGTGGATAGTTAGTTAGGCTGATTTTGTTTAAATATCTTTATAGAAAATAAGATTACTTTTCTTTTGATATCCGATTTTTTACTATTAGTAATCGACAGTCAGGGTACGCTAATCTTTTCTCTATAAGCAGATTGTCTATTAAGTTTAAACCATTATTCATAGACAAATCAATAATCTTTTTCAACATGTCGGCTTTGCCACTTGGTAGTATAATCTGACTAAATTTCGTAGTCGTGTTTACTTTTTTCATCCTCGGTATTGCCTCCAGTTTTACGGTTGCATATTGTGTACTCGTTCGATTCTGTGCGACGTCTATAATTTCGCAATCTAATTAAATAAAAGGTTCTCGTTTGGAACGTTTTGGGAATTATATTCCTGTAATGTGATTTAAATTTGTTAACACATTATTATTTCTTTGTGTCTTCAAATAGTGGTAATTTAAAACTTCACCGCTCACTTCGGTTAATGTTACAGAGTACTTTTATATAGTACTGATAATAGTATTGCGACTTCAGACACATTTTGGAAGCTCGACAGAAAAGAAGAATTATTGAATTTTCATCTATTCACCCTAAAACAGGTCAGTATTTAAGTCTAAATTGAATCTTATATTTTAAAGAAGTTTAAAATCATTTTTTGTTTACGAGACAACTAAAACTTACATTTTATCAGAAGTATTTGCACTGTAACTAGTTCTTTACAAAAGCCTAAAAATTACTGGATGCTTTTTGTTTATAGTTTTTCCTTCGGTAACATTAGCAGGATTACGTAGCCGTTCAAATAATATATTTAAACTGTTCCATCAAAATTGCATAGAAATTTGATGTGAGATTTGGATCAGAAATTATGTAGCACTATTAATTCTCATACTCAAGACTACTAGTCTGCAAATCGTCTATCTGAATAAAGATCTAAAATGTGTGCAATGACATGTTGTTAATTAAAATAAAAGAAACTTAGTTAAGTTAAAAAAAATCTAAAGTATCAAAAAGTTGGTAAGTAAACATTTTCAGTAACATGTAATTAAGAACAGGTAGTTCTCTTAATTATGTGATAGATATTCATTAAAATAGTTAATAACATTTACAGTATATTATATATTTAAGTCATTATTTATTTAATTTGTTATGCAACCTTGATATGATCTGCAAATCTTGCAGTTGTTAGCCCATATACATACCTTATGTATTTTTCTTTACATAATGTGTTACAAAACATCATATAAAATGAGCAGGTTCTTACTATTACAATTGAAGTTAAGATGGTCAATAAATACACCTGTTTTATTTTTCATTTGTTTTCTAAGGATTACATAAAGCCTTTTCAGAATATATATATATAAATATATCTATCCTGTTCATTTGTTAGCTCTGTTGGTCTTAGTATTTCAATATGTACAGAGGTTGAATAGCAGTCCTAGGGTTGTCACATAAACAGAAAAAAATATAGGCGACAGTTCCATCACATGAAATTGGTAATGATTGATTTGAAGTAAACATTATTGTTTTTAATGGGCTTAGTACAGGAAAATCTAAATTAACGGAGGGTTAAGAAAAACTGTTCAAGGAACCTTAAATAGTTTGTTAAGTGAAACAATTTTGACATAGACAAATTTTAGCATAAACCCTGTCTGGAAGAAAATAAATAGTTGGGCTGCGAGAGGTTTTTATTTTGATTCTGGATGGAACTTATCCGATTCCGAGGTATCGCGAGATAACTGAAAAAAAATGGTTTTCAAAGTTATTTTGCAATGAAAAATATGGTAATGACCCTTAGTTTCCGCCAGATTTCATTAAATTCCATCCCGAATCGAAAAAACTTGTTTTTAGGGTTCCGTACCTCAAAAATTAAAAAAGGAACACTTAAAAGATCACTCTCTTATCCATCTGTCCTTGTGTCACCACCAATTTTTTCAGGTTCAGTTCAGTTGAAATTTAAACCAGATGCTGAGGTCCCTATTAGGTGTTTAAAAATCAAGGCCCTGAGTCAACATGATTAAAAGATATGGGCAAATTTAGATTTTAACCTTGCTTTTAACCAAAATTGACAATTACAGGTCAACCGGAACTACCATATAGGTTTTGGGTCGAAAACCTCTATGGTAGGTCCTGTTGACCTAGATTCATGAAAGTTGGCAAAAAGCAAGGTAAAATTCAAATAAAGGAAAAATTATAAAAAATAAAATAAAAATTAAGGTAAATTTTGGTACTTACAAGTTTTTGCGAAAATCTACGTAAAATCTAGGTAGGTACGGAACCCTCGGCGCACGAGTTCGACTCGCACTTGACCCGTTTTTTTTAAGGTTTAAACCCTGACTAAAAACGCTTTTTTGAAATACTATGAAATGCTGAGCTAGTTTTTCTTAACAAGTAGCATTTTATTGAATTGGAAAATTTATATACAGACAGTAGATGGTAGGTTAATTGAATGACGTAATAAATGCTGTAACACTTTGACACAACTTTCGGTATTTGAATAAGATCTTTAAGGGTTCCTTGGGATTTCAGTGGAAGTCACATTGTAACAATTTCAGTAGATTCATGCTATGAAGCTTTAAGGTAAGCTACTGGTGATTAGCTGTTTAGATTTTCCCATACCGGCCCATTTATTAAAAACACTATAAGCGTCTCTTGTGTTCTTTTGTCCTTTGTAATGAGAACAGTATGACAATGACTACCAAAAAAATTTGAAATGAATCACTGAAAAACTGCATGGGTTACAATTCATCCGTTTATGAATTGCACAAATAATTTGTCTGATGATAATGTGATTAGGAACATCACCATGGCATGTAAGTATAAGACTTTTTAATTGTGTAAGTATTTATTTATTTTTAAACGAAATATGAGAGTAATTAAACATTTTGAGTCAGTTACTTTGATATCAAACAATTTGCATTACAGTTGTACGTGAAACATCAAGAATCAAGATAGTTTGTGCACAGTTGCAAAAAAAGGTTTATGACCGTTTTATGGTCATAGACTTAGCAACTGTAGTGTTTCACGATGGACCTACCGGACTGCCCCCCTGGGACAGAAGGATATCAAGACTCTGTCTTTGAAGTGCCCAAAAAACCTGATGATCCAATGTGCACCAAGGTAAATACATATTTTCTCTATTAACAAACATAATTGAAGTCATTTATCAAAAATAAAATTTTATTGTCATTTGTTTATTATCCTTCATATTGATGATCATTAATTTTAACAAAAAAAAAAAAAACGTGTTATATAAATATTACAAGAATGTAATGTATCAAATTCAACAGAATCCATTTATTGTACATGTAAATGTACATATACTAAATAATTAAAAATAAAAACCTTAACACAAATATCCTTACAGAAATGTTCATCATATGTCACAAATTGATCAAGACGTTTTTAGAACAATTTTGTGGACAATCAATCGTTTGTGGTTGATTGTGGTACACCAGATTTAAAAAATGATAATTATATGTTCTCCTACTAAAAGTCCCTTCTATTCCTGCCTAGATTATTCAGTATTTTTAAGTAACTTAACTGGGATGTGCTAAATAATAATTTAAGATTGTGTTTGAAGGACAAGTCCTCCATTACTTGATTAATATACCTGAAATTCCTTGGCAAACTATTTGTGGCAATTGCGTGTACTATAGGAAGAGACTTTAGTTTCCTGTCCAAAGCTTACATGCTATAATTAACTAAGTTAGATTGTAAAGGAGTTTTGTTTCGCAAATCCTCAGTGACGTTTATGTCCACGGATTTAAAAAGTGGTGTCCTCCATCACAAAAGTCGTATATTTGAAACAGTCTTAGGATCCGTCCATTGTTCCGTTCCGTCTTATTGTTCAATTTATAGTTGTATGGATCTTTCGATTTACTGTTTTGAACTATTTCGACTCACCGCGTTTTCGCACCAACGGTACTGCAAATCTTGGTTTTCAAGTAGTTTCGGAGTTACAGCTAGTGTTTTAAAGAAGATCGTACGATGTCGTGATATGCTGGCTTTTTCCTGCTATTACTACATTTCTTATTAAATATATTGCGAGATAGACTTGATTCTATATGATGTAATTGACTTTTAATTGATATAGAGATGTGGCAGGTTCAAGTATGTGAGCTGATTGAGACACTGATAGATAGATGATAATTATCTCTTGAATGAATATAATCAGCTTAGATTATGGATGTGTCTAGTTAGACTATCTGAGCTTAGAATGCGTTGAAAAAATAGTGTCTAACTGTTGGCTACTGAATTCCTTTTCGCTGTCGTAGTATTGTCATTATAAACAATTGATTGCACGCACAAAGTAAGCCCCAAATGATAACGTTAATCTCTGATTTTGGCTATAAACATACCAGTTGAGAGACGAAGACTACTCTCTAAATGAATTTGAAATTGAATTAGTTTGAAACTACGTTTTGAAATATTCATATTTAGATCAAATTATACACTAGTTAAAGGAGAGATAGAGAAAATCAGAAAAGAAATTCTAAGGAGAGGCCTATGTTCAGCAGTGAACTACTAAAGGTATTGAGGATAGTGATTATGATGATACACCAGTGCAATTAAGTAGATGCTAGAAGAAACAGACTGTCTCTTTCTGTTGACGGTCACACATAGTCTTCTTGCAAGGTAAAACACTTCCGCGACAAAGGAGTAAATGTATACTCTGGTTTGCAATTTGAAATCTGCATAATACTATTTGTTTTTCTAACAAAAAGTAATAGTGCTAAAGTTATCTTACGCCATGGTAAGGCATGGCAAATGAATTTACGTCTTAATCTCAAACTAACGATAAGCCAGCAACAGAGTACACACCTAAGTGCGTTGGCCTAGAAATTTAATTAGCTAGCGATTTTAATTAATAAAATTCATGCGCAATGATACCAAAAACAACTCAAATACTTAATTGTAATTCAAAGATTTTTTCATCAACGTCGAGAATCTGTAGCAGCCCAACCGACTTTTAATCGATTGCATTTTGTCATAAACAAGTCCAGGGCCTACATTCTGCTATTTTATGTTTACGGCAAGCCACTCTCATACCACTGACACGCTATTGAGATGCCATCGAGTGGCCATTGGCATCGGTATAAATATCGGTAGTTGAAAATATGTTACGTTTTTTGAGGAGATGATTTATTTATTTTTATTATAATAAATTATTAAAAGATATAAATAAATAAAAATAAATAATAGTTTGAACAAAATAAATGTTAAAGGCAACTTTTTCGCTTGTAATCGATACACCAGAAAAAAATCACAATGTGGATTTATTCACTTTCTGATCTGATTTTGTAGAAATTTTAGATTTAAACTTTTGTTTCTAAAGAGTACTCACTCTTTGAACGGACTCCCGTTCACTAATTAGGAATACAAATTGTCTGGTAGTGTCATAAGCACTAAGTAAAAACATAAGTACCTAACTATCACTATATTTAATAATATAGTTATATCAGATTCTTAGCAATTAATATAGAATATTTTGATCTTTCGTGTACCCTTCAAAGCTCTTAAACATTACTAAAAAACCACCTATACAGTTATTGTTTAGATATTTTGTGTAACTGTCACCTGTGAAGAAGCTGTACACTACCTACACGCAAGTCCCATTAACATAACTACTCGTACACTTAAAAAACGAAAATCAAAGTATTATTTATAAAAAAAGTATAAATTTACAATTTACCACACAAAGTGACAACTTCAACCTCTTTTTTTATAAGTTTTCGATGCAGTGTAGTCGTTAATTATGATAGCAATAGATTTAAGAGAAATTCGGGTATTCTTGATTTTAAGTGTGTGTGTTCGGCCATTATTAATGTTATTTGCTAAATTACTTTTGTGCAAAACTATATTTTATCGAGAACGTGTCTATGATTTTACGGTAAGTATGATATGAGTATGGAAAGAGACTTTTTTGGACATAAGTACATACGGTAAATAAACGATTAAAAATTATATGCTAAACTGTTTTATTTTGTTTTTAATTAACCCATATATAAATGGCGAATAAGGAAATTTTAATTTAAAATCCTAAAAAATCCAATTAAGTTAATTATCGACATACCATATTATGATTTTGTGAACGAATAAATATGATGTTGAACCCGTAGTAGAGAGCTATAATAAACTTTTCATTTAATATAAAAGACGAACGAGTTTTACTGCCTTTTTTCTAATTAGTCAAAGTGTATATTTGGTTCGGACTTTAAGTATTTTCTTATAATCTAATGGCTTTTTACCAAATCAATGTTACGACATATTGTGACGAGTTCTTGAAATTGTCTAGATAACATTTGTATTAATATTTAACAGGCTGAGCAAGAGTTTCAAGATCACCTGAACAGTTTAAAGATAAAGCTTGAAGATGGCAGCACACGGCCCATGGTCGAGCGCAGCGGGCGCGATATTTCTGGGAAGTGGATATATCTCTGCTACCCTTGTGCGGCTGTCTGCAGCGGAGAGAGTATTCTGCAGGTAAGTACACCTATTATAAGGTGCCATCCATAAATTACGTCACACTAATTTCATGATTTTATCGTTATATCATGAATTACTCAAAAAATCCTGTTTTAGTTAGTCTCGGTAGAACATTTTGTAGATTTTTTTTTCCTTTATTTTTCGACCCAATCAGTATCTATTAATTGACTGTTTTGTACTTAAACAACTTATTTTGTAATATTAACTGTTTTTGCAGTTTATGCGTAATAAAATAATAAAAAACATTGTAATGTTTTGTTTCTAGGTTCATATATCGGGGAAGAAGCACAAGACTAAGTTGACGATGACAACTGTATGGCCTAAGAGCATATTTGAAGACCATCCCTTTCATCAAAATAGTGTCAAAACCTCGAGTAAGTACTTTATTTTCTTTTTATTTTGTTATTGGATAAATACGTAGTAGTCTTAATACCGGTCTGCAGCCCGTGCGTTGCACATTTGACCAGGGTTGGGTCAAATATGAGAATAACAATTCTCAGGGCTTGAAATACTGTTATATAAATGTGGTATCGTTACGGCCTCTAGATGCAAGCATCGTAAAAATAACCTCAAAAAAAAAAAGTTATTTTTTTAACAAATTACTATACAATTTTACCTTTAATGCCCTATGCATTAAAGGTAAAATTGTAACTACTAAAATATTAACTACTTTCTGTTACCGGTAACTTTATCATTGTGAGAAGATTTTGTTACTCTCTTGTGAAAATTAGCATACTGCATTGAAGTTGACACACACATAACATTATCATTATAACTAATCCATATTAATGATTGAAACTTCGAAAGTTGTCTAACTAGGAAATTCAACACTTAAAATAGCAAACAAAATCGCAATCAGGGGACGACTCTACGACGCCAAGCGCGTTTGGCGTTGCGTTTGATTTCAGTGCAAGCCACCGCGACCGCGCTGACCGCGGTCGCCGTGGTAATCGAGTTGATGTGAAAGAAACTCACTAGGCTGTCTGGACAGAATATCAACTCACATTAGAACATTTATTATGTCATATAAGTTCCCTGTTACTTACACAAAAGAGATTCTTCAAATATAACAGGATAATGAAAGTTATGCCTTTTACAGCTTCAGAAAAAGTGCTTCAGAAAATGGCACAAGCAGTTGACGCGCACAACCAATCTTTTGATATTGAGAAGAAATTCAGCAAGTACAGAAATGTAACCTGTCACATTCAAGAGTCGATCGATTCAATAAAGTGAGTCGATTGTACTATTTTTTTGATATACTCAAAAATGCAACTAACTATTGTAATAAAACAACATCCCGAATAGAAGTAATTCTCATAAAATATATCATAGGCAGGTTATTAACTCTTATAACTTATTTCTATGTAAATATGTTTGTGCCTCCTGTGATAGGTGATACAAATAAAAAATCAACACTTTACAGGAGAACAAAAACAAGATTTATAAGTTTCAAAGATGAGATTTTTTACTCACTAGTCCCCTGTTTTCATAATTTAGCATTGTATCAGTTTAGATTTTGTCTTGAATTGATCTTTTAGATTCTTTTTTTTTTAGAAATTTAGATTTGAATTTGTTCAAAGTGATGTAATTCTAATTAAATTAATATTCACGAAAAATTACTGAAAAACAAAATGCGAAAATTAATTTAATCGCACAACATTTAGCACATAGCAATTAATATAGCAGCAATTTTTAAAGAAGTTACAACTTGAAATCCATCTATATTCAAGATAAGCTGGTGCCCGCGACTTCCTTCGTGTGGAATTTGTAAAGCACTGCCCTTGTGGGTTCGATTCCCGGACCGGGCAAATATTTATAGAGTTCTTGTGTGAGAAAAAATAGCCAAGTTAGTCCTTATATAGACAGCTACCTGGTAGTAAAATATTATTAAAACCGGTTCAGCCGTTTTGAAGATTACCCGGAACAGACAAACAGAAAGACATATGATTTAAACTGGTTTTTATGACATAGGCAAATAACCGTGTAAGCATGAAAAAAAAAACCTATTATTTTGACATTATAAACAGACACTTCAATTATATGCATCTGATTGAACATCTACCAGAGGGGGTAGCATTACTTACCCTCGAACAACTGCTTGGCTTGATCGAATCAGGGAATACCGCAAATTATCATCAACTATGTAACCTCTTTCTGGAACTGATTCAATTATTCTTTTACTACTGACTTTTAATAATTAATATCCTGAAACATTGTCGTCGTCAGGGCTCCACTGATAGGGCTGGAGTATCTTATCGAGCACCCTCCGGAGGAGGCGCACTACGAGCCCAAGTACATCTGCACACTTTGCTCCAAGCAGGGACACCCGCGGACCATCATGAACCACATGACTTGCTTCTGGCATCGTTACAACTATGTTGTTAGTATGAACTCATCTTTAACAGGAATACAATCTTATACAGAGGTTATGAATCATCATCATCATCATCATCAACAGCCTTTAATAGTCCACTGCTGGACATAAGCCTCTCCTTAGAAAGGAGGTTTTGGCCTACTATACCACGCTGGCCAGACGGGTTGGTATAGGGTCCCCTAGGGCGACTTGCCCAATTTGGGTGGACCCAGCGTCGCGACAAGACGGCTGTACACGGGGGTTGTCCGGTCAATGGCACTGTACGGTGCACCGGTGTGGGCGGCGGCTCTGACCGCCCAGAATAGGGCACGCCTCTGGCGCCCTCAGAGGGTAATGGCGGTCAGAGCCATACGCGGTTACCGCACCGTTTCGACGGAGGTGGCATGCGCGTTGGCCGGAACTCCCCCGTAGGATTTGGAGGCGAAAGTGCTCGCCGAAGTTTATCGGCGAGTGACTGACTCCCGGGCGGAGAGCGGATTTCGCCCTCCGCCCGAGGATGTGCGCGAGTGGCGCGAAGCCGCTCGCCGAGCCACGATGGCTCGTTGGTCGTTCCGGCTGGAGACTCCACGCGCTGGCTTCGCCGCCGTGGAGGCTCTCCAGCCGGTCATCGCCGAGTGGGCAGGGCGGCAGCACGGGACCCTTTCCTTCCGGCTGACGCAGGTGCTTTCCGGGCACGGTTGCTTCGGAAAGTACCTGCACTCGGTCGCTAGGAGGGAACCGGGAGAGTCCCGCCTGCCACCACTGCGACTGCAGTGAGGACTCGGCCCAGCACACGCTGGCGGTCTGCCCCGCATGGGTGACGCAGCGCCGGGCCCTCACTGCAGTCATCGGAGTGGATCTCTCGCTACCGGCCGTAGTACGCTCCATGGCCGGTAGCGACAGTTGTTTTACCGCGGTCGCAACCTTCTGCGAGGAAGTAATCTCGCAGAAGGAGGCGGCGGAGAAGGCCCGGGAGGACGACCTCCACTTGGACCCGATCCGCCGCCGGCGAACCGGGCGACGGAGGCGCGCCTATCACCGCCTCATGCCGCCCTGAGTGTGGCCGCGGGTGGACGGGGTGGGTTTCCCCTCCACCCGCATTAGTTTGGCCAGCCGCGAGGGGGCGGCGTCCGCGTGTGCCGGACGTCGCCTAAAGAGAGAAAAATATTGAGACGGAGCCCGCACCAGGAGCGGGCTGGCGCTAGGAGGGGTCCGGATGTCTTAATAACAGCTGTTCCCGGATCCCTCCTCTTACAGGCGCAGAGTGGCACACCGTGTGGTTTTAGTCGGTCCGAGTCCGACACACCACCCCGCCGCAAACCCCGGTGGGGTGACGGTCCGAGGGGATTTCCACACGTTAAAAAAAAAAAAGGGTTTGTGTCAAGTTTTCCTTCTCTCTGCAGTGCTGTTGTCCTGCGTAGTTTTTACCCTTAGTCGGCTCTTACGACACCCACGGGATGAATAGGGGTGGTGACACTCTATATTCTTAATCCATCACCACACGGAAGGTTCTACTCATCATAAAATCATTTGTCAGGACTGAAGTCGTCGGTCGACCCACTCTTGAGCAGGAATCGAACCTACGACCTCTGTCTTAGCAGTTACGATCACTAACCACTGGACCACAGGCCTGTCATATCAATAAGTATTTCAAGGCTTGTATAAAAATATTTGATTTATTGTATTTATTTTTTAATTGAATTCTTTGTATTGACTGGAAGAAAATACCTATGGCATTAAGCCTGCCTTATGCAACGCATTTGAGAGGATTGTGATTAAGTGGTAATCGAGTAGGATAACACATTTCAAAGTTAGGCAATCCTAGCCATGTCAGTCTATGGATGGGTGACCATTCTTAACACATTGAAACCCCCCGTGCCTCGAAGAGTACGTTAAGCCGTCGTCGTTGCCATACGAACATCTGTGGCAATCGTTATGGGTAGTTGGATCCCTAAAAGGTCCAACAACATTCTTTCTACAGACCTTTGATTTCGCTTATAGTTAAACCGCCGTAAGCTTGGCCCTCCTTATGGTTTTTGCGGGACGCGGGGCGGGTGATGCGCTCGGCTATACATGACACGATGTACTAACTCGATATCTTCAGATTTATTTGTTTGAGATTTAATCTACACACGATGTAATAAAAATCGAATTTATTTCCATGTATTGTAATGTCAGTGTATTGTAAGTTTTTATGATTTAATTGTAAAATTTAATACTGTAAAATAATTACCGTGTAATAAAATCACATTATCTTCATCATGTAAATTATATTCAGATACAATTTAAAAAATTAAGTAAAATAATAAATATTCTTTATTAGAACTTTAACAGTAGAACCTCTGTAAGCCGAACTTCAAGTTCTTAAATCTTTTTGTGACGCAGAGTCGGCAGATTATCCATGTTGCAAAATAATACCGTATGTAGCAGTCTTAAGAAAAATAACACGTACAGCCATGCTTTCACGTCAGTCACTGCCGGCGGACAGCGACGCACTAGCTAATTGGTTGAATGCATCCCCGCCCCGCGTCCCCCAAACCATCAGGAGGGCCAAGCTTACAGCGGTTTAACTGTAGTACTTGGGTTGTGGAGATCTGATGGCAGTCGCTCCACATAAAAAATCGAACTTCACTTGTATCCTAGTAGACTTAAAAGCCGTCTCCTACCCAGTGTTCGAAAAAAGCTTGGAAAAAAATTCAACGCATTTTTGCAGGGTGTATAAATATAGAAATATACCAATTCAAGTCTAAGTAGAACTGGCTGTTGTCCGGAAGGCCGTGCCCTCTAAACACATAAATTAATACATTACAAAAAATGTACTAAAATAGTAATTTTAACGCCATTTAGTTTCAAACTAAGCAGAGCTTGTACTATGAGTTATGAGAGCTAGATTGACTGATAGAATACTTATATAAATATATTTTTTTTTGTAAATACATACATATTATGCATGGAAAACCCCCAAACTCCGAAACAAATATGTGCAGATCATACAAACATTTGGTACCACCCGGGAATCGAACCCGAGACCTCAGCATAGCAGTGGTAGCATACGCTATCACTACACAACCCTATCACTACACAACAGAGGCAGCCAAAATATACTTGAATAACATTATTAAACTAATAGTATGTGCGTGTGGTGACGGATTAAGAATACAGAGTGTCACCACCCCTATTCATCCCGTGGGTGTCGTAAGAGGCGACTAAGGGAGAAAACTACGCAGGACAACAACACTGCAAAGAGAAGGAAAACTTGAAACAAACCCTATACCAACCAACCCGTCTGGCCAGCGTGGTATAGTAGGCCAAAACCTCCTTTCTAAGGAGAGGCCTATGTCCAGCAGTGGACTAGTATAGGCTGTTGATGATGATGACATTATTAAAAAGAAATTTATAAGTATTAAATTGAACATTAAATAAAAAATATTTACTACGATAAAATAATGTTTTTAAGCTGGTATTATTTGTTCGTAGAACCGTCACTTTCGCAAAGCGTGCAATGTTCTAACACCTTACGGGGGTCAGTCTAAGTACCGTGAAGGAGTGGGTATAGTGGTGAGTCGCCTGGCGCAACGCATCGAGGACAAGTTCGGACGCATGCGACCTCTCAACATCGATAAAGATGAATATGAGGCAGACAAGTGAGTTAACTATATAATAACAGGCATCTGCGGTGACTCACACACAGATACACACTCGCACGCAGATACTCGCAAGCACCAAAATAAGTAACCCAGGCATCCCCTGTAAAATGGATTTCGATTAGCACAATCTGCTCTATATGGTAAAAAATATAAAAAGAAAACCTGGAATGGAAACACCTAGTTTAGGAACCAGGGGGCCAAGTGTGAGTTTATTTCGCTTCTACTCGATCGTCACGGTGACCGCGTTCGTCGCTACGATTGGACCGCGATTGAAATCTCCACCAATAGCAACGCTAAACGCCCTCGCCGTCGAGAGCGAGTCGATGTGAAATAAACTTGCACTCGGCCCGTAGTTTTTCACAATCATCTATGTAAAAGTCTAATTTATCTTGTAAATGACAAGTAGCAAGAAAAAATAAGTTTTTTTTTATTTTACTTATTATTAATATGCGTTTAAGATAAATCAAAGTACATAAATATTATATATGCAGCTACTGTATGGCTATATTGCGGAATAGGACCGAAGGAATAGAACGCGGAGACACGTCATCTGATTTTGAGTGACTGGCAGGTCCGGAAGGATAACAATGCAAGCAGAAGTCCAATTCTCGTATTAAAAGTTCGGTTTCAATTCAGTTCCGATATACTTTCGATCTCACACATAAAAGGTATTTTCTTAAGAAAGTATTAAACATCCAACGTTGACTGTAATGTGATTATGTGTATCATATTGTAACCGAAAATTGTATCGGTAATCTGCTAGCCTTAGCGATACTTTAAAACGAAAATACCTTTTATGACAGTTGTGAGATCGAAAGTTTATCGGAACCGAATTGAGACCGTACTATTATTACGAGAATTGGCCTTCTTTTCTGAAAGGATAACAATGCAAACGTGTTTAGACTATATACTATTAGTTTACACAATAGATCATAACTTTGTTATCCAATAAATAATAACACATGTACCGCCACCATTTACCACTAGCTTTTGACCGTGGCTCCGCCCGCCTGTTTGTCGGTTATTGCGGTAAAAAGTAGCCTATATCCCTTCTCAAGAATCAAAGTATCTCCATGTCAAATTTCGTTAAAACCAGCTCGGTGGTTTATAATATTAATAGGGATTTACCAGAAAATTATTTTCTTTGAAGTTTGCCCTCACCTTTTGCGTACATAAACTAAATTGTTTATTTAGTTTATGTACGCAAAAGGTGAGGGCAAACTTCAAAGAAAATAATTTTGAAAAGTTAATATATTAAAAAAAATGAAAGTGGTTGTAATTTAATAATGAAAATAAACTTAAATCTAGTTTGTTGTTGACCTGCACGAGATTGGAACAATATATGTTCTCGAAACAGTCATTTACGCCCTATTATTGAACAGCATCATTAAACAAGTTTTTTTGTCTTACATACTCATCATATATAAAATAGTTAATGCAAATATCCCAATGTGAATAAAAATACATTGAACTGACAAACAAATTCATTCGTAACACCAAACAGCAGCTAATTCGATTATGAGCTGAGTGCTTCAAAAGTGCTGTTTTTCTTTTGACATATTTTGTGATCTGAGATTACACATCATCACTTCAACAGCCTTTAATGGTCCACGGCTGGACATAGGCCTCTCCTTAGACAGGAGGTGTTGGCCTACTATACCCCGCTTTCAAGACCAGTTGGGTTTGTGTCAAGTTTTCCTTCTCTGTGCAGTACTGTTGACTTGCGTAGGCTTCCTTTAGTCGGCTTTTACGAAATTTATATAGGTGGTAACACTCCGTATTTTTAATCCGTCACCACACGGACAAATTTACACACACGGTAAATTTGGTGGCATTTTAATAGCGTAATTCCTAGCAAAACACGAAAATAACATCATACCAGCATCTAGAACGCCAATTATCACACCGAATTAGCGTTAACCCCTTTTTTTAATTAAGAATCTTTTGCCATCGGATGGCAAAGATAGACCCAAGAAATAAATAATTATATTTGTCCTACACAGAGAGCATATTTACCAATGGATTTTCAAAGGAAAGCACTTTGAAGAGAGTGATAATTGCACTTTTGAGGAGGTGGTGGACGTCGGACTCATAGATTCGCTGCATAGTAAGTTGATAATATAAGTTATTTGTGTTGATTCACGCACATACATATTTAAAGATTATATAATTTTACCAATCTATACAGGATTAGGGATTTTTAATTTTTTCATAAAAAAAACATTCTTGAAATTGAGACCACATTTTAAGTTGTAATTATATAGCTATGCTTTTATTCCGGATAGTGGAGGCGAAAGAAATATCGCTAAGGTAGTGTTCATTAATAATAATATACCTCGCACATCTCACACACGGCCGTCTGATCCCAAACTAGGCAGAGCCTGTACTATGGTAACCAGACTGCTGATAAACATACTTATATATTTTTAAATACATTCATATTATAGATAAATTACACCTAGACGCAGAACAAATTATGACGACGAGAAATTTTTATTTTTTTATGTTGACGGCTGATTAACTTAGTCTTAGTTGTCTTATCTTTTGTTGGCGAGCAGAGAGAAATACTAATTTGGTGTAAACAATTGATTTCAATCTTTGATGTCTTCTAAAGGCGAAAAATTAAGTAATTATTACTACGATTCACCATGTTGGAGGCGTATTAAAATCAGTGATATTTTTTTAATAGTTAATAATGTTCATTACTTATTGTTATTCATTTTATATTTATTACAGATGCCACCCACAAAGATCGCGCTCACGCTAAGTACGTATTACTATAAATAGTAATGTTCACATAGTTTTAGTAAGCATAAACATATAATGAGTTTCCTTTAGTAGCGAAATTATTGAAGAGAAATCTGTTTATTTTTCAGGAAAGAACCCTCACCCCCAGTTGTTGCGGCGCCTTCAAAACCACATTTTAATCATTTTGCGGTAAGTTTAAATTATTTAAACGTCTCGTGTCGTCAATTTATAGTACCATTTCGCGTATGCTTTAGCGGCTCGATGATTTTAACTCTTTGGGCCGTTATCAATAAATTTGTGTATTATAGAAAACAGTTTTAAAACTGATGTACCATTTTCTACTTTTTTTTACAATGTTTATAGAGATAATACTTATTGAACTATCAGCCGAATCTTTTGCTCTTGTGAAAAGTAATGCAATAAAATAATATGGAGAATGATTTCAGCGTCCAGCCGGCCGTCAAGAAAGACGCACAGGTTCCGTTGATTCTTTGTCAGACATAAGCGATGATGCAGACACGGCACCTCGCCGGGAACCTAAGATGGCTCGCCTCTCCAGGTATTGGTTACACTAATATATTCACAAATAAATATTGAGTTTTAATCTCAACCGTACAATATAGTAGTGTATCTTACATAATATGCTATAAACAAGGGTCGTCAAATATTAGGAGGGTTGTGTATGGCCGACAAATAGTTGATTTACTTACAAATTTAAAACGAATTTGTGACGTGATGTGTTAGTCGGTTCCAGTCTGACGCACTACTTCACTTAGGGTGATAAGGATGACACGGTGACACGCGAGAGTATCCATACGATAAAAATAGTTATTTATTGGTCTATTTTACGTCTAGTATTAAATATTGATTCTAAATAAATTAATTGTTTGTAGAGAAGAACCCGAGGAAAAGTATCGTGGAAACTCGCCATATCGCTCTCGATTTGCCGTTAAAAATAACGCGACATCTAGGCTATCTCAAGAAAAGGTAACTACTGTGTTTTGATTATTATTAATATTTGGTCAATTTTATTTCTTACAAACTAGTAATTTGTTTTGATTTTCATTTTATTAATGTTCTTTCCTTCAGGCTCGACCTGCCAATTATGAATATAAGGTAAAGCTTGCAAGCGATAAACGCATGGCGGCTGAGGATTTCGCTAAGAAAACTCTCGCGTACCACGAAAAAAATCCTGAAAAACACCCACTGTACCCTGAGGAGTGGAAAAAGTTCTGGAACAGGCGATACAAGGAGATACAAGCCGGTAAATGCAAATGGGCAAAACTCTTTTTTTTCTATTTTTAGTTGATTTATTATGAATCTTCTAAGTAAGACGCGCTACAAGAATAAAGCCCAGTCTTAAATTAACTAAATCTTAAACACGAATTTTAATGGGTCGAACAAACTTCGAGAACTTTGCTATTATATTGATTCTTTGTGTACTTAACTATTTTAGTTTATATTTGTTACTTTCTGCTGTAAAGTTTTAGAAATAAATATTGCTTGTGTTTTTTTCCTTACAAGTTCTTTTGACTTTTCTTAAATAGAATATAATACCTATCATTAGGTCTGTTTTAAAATTGTGTCTTGAGTGTCTGAACAGGATATAAATTATACTTAATATTGCAGAGGGTAAGGATCCGTCTAAACACGACTTCAAGCCGGAATGGATAATTTTTTGGACGGCACGGATGAAGGCTTTGCACGATGAGGAACTACGTGTCACCGTTAACGAAATATACCGCAAGATGTGTCTGTCGCCTCCCGACATGACGAAGAAGTCTCCGGAACCTTCATCACGACCCGGAGATTCAGCTCGACGAGATACAGATATTGCAAGACGTCCTGATGACTCTCGCCGGCGATCGCCTACGGACAGGCGCCACCGATCGCCAAACCCATGTCGTCGCTCGCCCGAACCACGTCGGCGATCGCCGGATCTTCGTCGTAGGTCTCCAGGAATTCGTCATAGATCGCCGCTAGTACGACATAGGTCGCCTTTGCGTCGACGATCGCCGGATACCAGACGAGATCGTAGGTTCGTCCAGATATGCAATTAATTGACTACATGGTTATTATTTTTAATTAGTAACATTTGTGTCAGAGTTTCGGTTTAGAGACATCAAATCTTAAAATTTTCATGGTGCGTGATTTACTAATCATGTTTAGGGAACTGCTGGCAGTCCTTGTTTGTTATCGATTACAATGGACACAATTTTATTACGGTCATAAACGGCAGACGGGAAGAGCAGTTATTTATTTTGAATAAATAACTGCTCTTCCCGTCTGCCGTGAACTACTTTATAGGCCTTTTATAGCATTGTGATTGGCAAAGATTAAAATTGAACACAATCCACGCAAGTAGGGTTTTTTACACTAATCACCAGTTTTGCCAGGTTTTAAAATACGTCCATTCGCAGATCGCCGATTGGTCGTCGGTCACCTGTCAGGCGTCGCTCCTCGGAACGTCGTCGCTCACCGATACCGCATCGTCTCCGCACTCGATCTCGAAGCCCTGTTCATAATAGGTAAGTTTAGGGTCAGACGTCCGTATACGACATGTGTAAAGTTGTGATTATTATTATTTGTGACACTTTTAATATACTTACTAATAAATGATGAAGAAATTGCGCATCAATTGAAAGATTGCTTCTTTGAAAAATGATAGTCGTATGTATGAGTAGCCACATATATAATGTATGGTATCTTTTTTAATATTAACCTTACCGAGCTCAGATTTTGTCTAATAATTTCAAATACTACAAAATCACACTAAATTATAATAAACATACATTATGTTTCTAGTTCTCACGTGGCTCCTCAATCCAAATATTTAGATTAAGAAGCCACCTTTATGTTCATAAAACTTTAAAAGTATTATACTACAAAATCGAGGATCGTGGCTACAATTTTTTTTTAATTTACTACTTATTAATAATATACTTATTATAATATACTTAATAATAATATACTTAATAATATACTTATACTTATTAAAAATAATATATGAAAAGTGGCTCCTCGATCCATACGGACATAAGTTTTACCTAGCTATGTGTTGTGAGCCGCGTACTCACGATACTGTAACGTGTTAGACACAGCCCCGGGCGCCACCCCTCGCAGCCGCGGCGCAGCTGCAGCCCGCTGTCGCAGCGCGCCATGCAGGCACGCAACCGCAGCCCTGACCACTTGCGCCAACTTGCACCTTCCTTGCAGACCGTACTTATTTCTGATGACGAACTCAGACCGTAAGCCTTTTTTATTGATGTTATTATGTTGTCAATATAAGAATCTAAGTTTGATTCCGAGAAATCAATATTAAGTTTTCTATGTTAGTGATCTTATTGGTTTTTAAAATTCAATAAAAAGTTTTATGTTTTAGACTGAATTATATTTATTTAGTTTCATTGAAAAATGACTGTTTTTTCTATAACTGTCTATATTCGTGATACTTTAATTAAACACTCAGCGACGACGGGCTGTCCCCGTGGAATTCGGACAACGAGATAGCATCGGTGACGTCGGCCGTGTCGCAGTCGGAGTCGCGGTCGCGCGCCGACAGCAACAGGTCGCGCAGCTCGCGGGCCAACAACGTGCGGCGCGCCGCCCCCGTCGACACCAGCGCGCCCGACGACGTCGTAGCCACGCTGCGCCTGCTCGTGGCACTCGAGGACTACCTCGGCAGCCTCGGACCCAAGCTCGTCGATTTACTCGCGGAAGCGCTCAAGATGGAGAAGGTGCGAAATCTTCGTTTAAACCGTTCGACAGTCGGTCGGTAACCGGTCGTAATAATAAACGCGATATCGATTACGTCGAACAGGAAAAAGCGAACTCTTCGGAGGAGCTGCTGTTGCGCGAGAGCGCCACGGTGCTGATCGAGACGGCGAAGGAGAAGCTGAAGGGCGCGGCGCAGGCGGGGCTGGTCAGTGGGAGCGCCGCCAGTGCCGCGCGCGCCGCCGTCGTGCGAGCCGCCGCCACGCTGCACGAGGCCGACAAGCGCCAGCGCGGACAGGTACCTCCACAGCTCACACACACAACACTCACTCACATAACAGCGCCGCCGCCACGCTGCACGAGGCCGACAAGCGCCAGCGCGGACATGTACCTCCACAGCTCACACACACAACACTCACTCACATAACAGCGCCGCCGCCACGCTGCACGAGGCCGACAAGCGCCAGCGCGGACAGGTACCTCCACAGCTCACACACACAACACTCACTCACATAACAGCGCCGCCGCCACGCTGCACGAGGCCGACAAGCGCCAGCGCGGACAGGTACCTCCACAGCTCACACACACAACACTCACTCACATAACAGCGCCGCCGCCACGCTGCACGAGGCCGACAAGCGCCAGCGCGGACAGGTACCTCCACAGCTCACACACACAACACTCACTCACATAACAGCGCCGCCGCCACGCTGCACGAGGCCGACAAGCGCCAGCGCGGACAGGTACCTCCACAGCTCACACACACAACACTCACTCACATAACAGCGCCGCCGCCACGCTGCACGAGGCCGACAAGCGCCAGCGCGGACAGGTACCTCCACAGCTCACACACACAACACTCACTCACATAACAGCGCCGCCGCCACGCTGCACGAGGCCGACAAGCGCCAGCGCGGACAGGTACCTCCACAGCTCACACACACAACACTCACTCACATAACAGCGCCGCCGCCACGCTGCACGAGGCCGACAAGCGCCAGCGCGGACAGGTACCTCCACAGCTCACACACACAACACTCACTCACATAACAGCGCCGCCGCCACGCTGCACGAGGCCGACAAGCGCCAGCGCGGACAGGTACCTCCACAGCTCACACACACAACACTCACTCACATAACAGCGCCGCCGCCACGCTGCACGAGGCCGACAAGCGCCAGCGCGGACAGGTACCTCCACAGCTCACACACACAACACTCACTCACATAACAGCGCCGCCGCCACGCTGCACGAGGCCGACAAGCGCCAGCGCGGACAGGTACCTCCACAGCTCACACACACAACACTCACTCACATAACAGCGCCGCCGCCACGCTGCACGAGGCCGACAAGCGCCAGCGCGGACAGGTACCTCCACAGCTCACACACACAACACTCACTCACATAACAGCGCCGCCGCCACGCTGCACGAGGCCGACAAGCGCCAGCGCGGACAGGTACCTCCACAGCTCACACACACAACACTCACTCACATAACAGCGCCGCCGCCACGCTGCACGAGGCCGACAAGCGCCAGCGCGGACAGGTACCTCCACAGCTCACACACACAACACTCACTCACATAACAGCGCCGCCGCCACGCTGCACGAGGCCGACAAGCGCCAGCGCGGACAGGTACCTCCACAGCTCACACACACAACACTCACTCACATAACAGCGCCGCCGCCACGCTGCACGAGGCCGACAAGCGCCAGCGCGGACAGGTACCTCCACTGCTCACACACACAACACTCACTGGCATACCCGTGGGATGGGCAAGGTACATCAACGGCGGGTAGGGCATCTAGTTTTATTTATAACTTTTTAGCAAGAGCATTCTCCCCAAATAATTAAATGTAGATAATAAATAAAATTGTGAGGTTCCTTAAAGGTTAATCCTCGTTTGTGATCATGGTTTGTCTTCGTTAGATGATATTGAAATATGTTTTTTCCGTTGCATGCTAGTTTTTAAACGTCAATCAAAGATCAATGGCACGTACCATTAATTTCAAAATTAAAACCCCAGAGTGCAATAACAAAAATATTTCGAGTAATGTTAGATCACAAAATGATATTTAAGATACCTTATCCACTAGTAACTGCATTTCTTTTTTATAGAAAACACAAAGTGCGACCAGTACTTCCAGATCTGCGGTGCCCGTAGCTGGGATAGGCGAGGTAGATCGTGCTCAGATCGCACAACAAATGGCGGAGGCGCTTATCGCTCAAGGCAAGACGGACGTGTCATCCGAAGAGTTGGCCCAATTGGTCGATGCCGTCGTTGGCATGGCCGAAGCTAAGAAACGTGAAGCCGAGCGTAAACAGCCAGAAATAATAGCTGCAAACAAACAAAACCCATCACTCTTACATCAAAGAATTAGCGGAACTGCGTCAGCGCTTCAAATGTTACAGTCGGCCTACGATGAACATGATAAAAGGTAATATTTTAATTTGTTTTTTTTTATTGTGCATAAGTTTGGAAAGAGTAACAATAATGTTCGGTTTCTTGATATAAATTGAAGTCCGAACTTTCTCGTTTAGAATGTAAAATTTTTTTTTTTTTTTTTTTTAAAGACAACTCCCGCACTAGGAATAAATCCTGTGTCGCGGGGGACTTTACAAACATACATGAAACGGACACAAAGTGCACCCAGACTCAGAACAAGAATTTGTGGATCACACAAAGTGTTGGTCCATGTGGGGTTTGAACCCACAACACTCGGCGTAATAGAAAGCGGCGTGGCGACCGCTTTAACCACTAGGCCATCCGTGCAGTAAGAAGTAAAATAGATTTGATGTAGTTAGTTGACGGGCCTGTCGATAAACGGCTCTGACTGCTAAGCCGTGATTGTAGGTTCGATACCCACCCAAATATATTACCACGACAAATAATTGTGTGATGAGAAAGATAATTTGTGTAGGTTACGTTTCCTACGTGCGATGGGCTGCTGCTAAGCTCGATACTAAATTAAAGACTTCGATAACTCTATCACGGTTTATTATTATAAAAAGTATAACGGTACTAAGCTATGCTAAAATGCTAATGGACGATTATATGCTCTGCTAATAGTTACGAATGCACCCGGTTTGCTGTCCGAATATGCACTGATGTCGCCGCGCACTTAAGGCGACCGCGTTAGGTTGCTAGATCAGCAAAAGGTGTTCGATCGTCATTATTGCATCGAACAATTTGTTTTATGTCTGGGTGTAATATATCTATGATATGTATGTATTTAGAAATATATAAGGCTTTGCCTTGTTTGGGATCAGACGGCCATGAGAAGTGTGAAGTTAATATTATAATTATAATTTTAGTTCATGCATTCATACATTTTCGTTTAAATAAACTTAGTATCAAGTTGTTCCTTACTGTGCTTCTTCAGCAGTTTTCTGCTTATGTTCGTATAAAATACGCAAATTGTTCAATTGTGGTTACTGATAAATAATTATTATACATATAAACTATGAATAAATAAATAAAACCTGTATATCAGTACTTGCTTCTGTTTTGTATGTATAAAGATATGCTTCTAGTTCATATTTGAGATTGAAAAAAAACTAGGCTGAAATTGATCCTTTGTGATCAGACTAAAAAACAAGTAATTTAATAAATAATATACGAAATATCGAATTACAAACCATACATCGAACTTAGAATTCTAATTTTCTTCAACAGAATAGAGAAAGAGCACACTCCCGATGCGATGGACGGTCTGTCGGACTCAGACTTAGAAACGTTGCTCAAGAATTTTAATGAATTATCAGCAGAAGAGCAGCACAGTCTCATCGCCTACCTCAAGAAGCTTGAAGCGCGGGAACCGGCGCGTGTGGAGCGTTTGCGGCAGTACGTGAGCGACGCCGCACACGCCCCGCCGCCCGCCACCGCCCCCCGCGCTGCCCTCGCCCGGCCCGGGCTCGAGCCACTGCCCCGCCCGCAGCCCCCCCAGGCCCCGCCGCCCGCCCCGCCCCAGGCCCTGCCGCACGCTCTAGACGCGCAGGTCGTGCTCGAGAGCGATGACGATGATTATACTGTTGAAGAGGTATGTCCGACTCTTACTTATTATTTATTTGTTTGTTAAGTACATATAAACTCTTTCTCTCATTAATGCATAGATTAATTAATTATAATAAAGCTAAGTCAAGTACATGGTCGACTGCACGGATGGCGATCCCCACATGGAACGACACTTTGTGTGATCCACAAATTGTTGTTCTGAGTCTAGGTGTTTTGTGTCCGGTTCATGTATGTTTTTAAAGTCCCCCTCGACACATGATACATTCCTAATGAGAGAGTTGTCTTAAAAAATAATAATGAAAATTTGCTTATTTCCTATGTAATTAAATAACAAATGACCATCCTGTTGAATTTTTAGATTGTATATTACTTGTTTGTAAATTTATAGTCAGTGTTTTGTACGCCCCTTTCTATTATAATACAAGTATGTTCACTAACGGTACCATGCTAACCAACTAATTATAGCTGCACTTTGAACCATATATATACCATAGCTGTCAATTCGAACCAAACCATTACGTTGAAACTCAATGCTTTCAATTTCGTTTTCAAACTTCCTTATATTTTTATGTACCTTAATCAAATACAATTTCAAAAATCATTTCGGAAAATTAACCTCATTCAGGGAAAAGGACCTTGCACTCACTTAAGCACTTAATTTGTAAAAACATGCATCTTTGGTGTATTTCCATAGCAAATTTACATTGCTATTTACTATTAAAACTATATTTCTATACATTTTTCCCAGGTCTTTAAATCTGCTACGCAGAAAGTAAAAGAAGATCAAATACGCCAAGAAATGGAAATAGTAAAGAAGTCATTGGAGGAGGCCAAACCATCGACTAAACCTGAGTTACCTCCTGAAGCTGTTGCTGACGCCAGTACAAGTATTACTTCAATTATAGATATTACGAGAAACTTTTCTTCAGCCAGCGACCTGTTTGCGTTGGTACAGGCTTCACTAAAGTCCACTATGATCCCAACGCCTGCCCCAATAGTACAGCCTCCAGAAGTAGTGGCCAGTAATATGCAACCCAGGTCATTTGGAGATTTGCCTGAGGTTCCAATGGTTTCTCAAGAAACATCATTAAATTCTCAACAATCGCCATTATTAAGAAATCCACAACATAACTTAATGGATAACAATAGCCAAGGAAATCAGTTTGGAAATGATCGCTTTAAGCAAGGTAATGTGCAGTTACATGACGGTTTTAACCATGGTAATGCACCGCCAGGTGATGGTGTCAACCAAGGCATCACACCGCATGATCGTCTAAATCAGGTCAACCAACCTAAGACTGATCGCTTTAACCAAGGCAACCAACAGCCTAATGATAGTTTTAACCAAGGCAATCAGGCGGCAAATGATCGATTCAACCAAGGGAATCAACCGCCCAATGATCGATTTAACCAAGGGAATCTACCACCCAATGATCGATTTAACCAAGGGAATCAACCGCCCAATGATCGATTTAACCAAGGGAATCCACCTCCCAATGAGCGATTTAACCAAGGGAATCCACCACCCAATGAGCGATTTAACCAAGGGAATCAAATGCCCAGTGATCGTTTCAACCAAGGGAACCAACCGTCGAATGAGCGTTTTAACTATGGCAATCAACAGCCCACTGATCGGTTCAATCAAAACAGCCTGTTGCCTAATGATCGTTTCAATCAAACCAATCAACCATCGCCTGATCGCTTTAACTCAGGTAATCAACCCTCGAATAATCGTTTCAACCAAAGCAATCAAGCACAAAATGAACAATTCCATCAAGGAAATCAGCTCCCCAATGACCATTTTAACCAAGGCAATCAACCAAAAAATGAAAATTTCGATCAAAGCAACCAAGGCAATCAGTGGAATGCGAGACCGAACCATGCACCGTTTAACTTAGGAGACTCTATAGATAATAGAGGTCCATCAATTAGACCCTTGCTTAGTGCACCCGATAACTTTGGCCCTAGTGGCCCGTATAATCAGGGTCCAAGACCACACTTTATGAATAACCGAGTCCATGATAATCGAAATATGAATCAGCAGCAGTTTGGTAACAACTATCGGGGCAGAGGAGGACGAGGCCAAGGTAGAGGAGGGCCAAGAGGTCGTGGTCGAGGCTACTATTGACTCTGGTCTAAAGCAACAATTTTATAATAATTTAGACAGATATGAAATGTATTTTTAGTATTAATATTATATAATATAGTTGACTCAACAATCTCCAAAGTAGTTCTGCTGTACTACATTAAGAATCTTTTAATAAAGGTTATATACTTTACAGTATTTTTTTTAATCTTGAACCTTAATTTAATCTTGACAATAGTTTTTAAGTCAATTACTTTGTTGTAAATTTTCTTGCATTCATTATGTATACATACAAGTGATAGAGGAATGTTTGGTCATATTTTGAGAACGTATCCCTTACCGTACTGTATACGGTTGCTGTATAGAATTCACAATTAAAATTCAACTGTCGGGAATTGTCTCGTTTGAAGTACGAGAAACGCGCGAACACCTCCGCCCTGAGGTCATACTTTCTGCTGGGTCACGAATGCTACACAAGTTGTGTTACTTTTTCTAGCACTGATTCCACTATTTAAGACGTCCTTCCACTGAGACTTAAACACTGGTATGATATCTGATATCTAATTAATTAAAAAAATGTATTTACCTCATTTCGTTGAGTTGGAGATTGTGTTGATTCAACTGAAACTTTATGCTGAAGAGGCAGTACGGCTCCTTCTGTTGGGTACTAACTTTCTTCAGTGACTATGATGTTTAAAAATGTATAGGGTGGTAGGCCGCCATTGCAATTTTGCATGTGTAAAAATAAAATTAATAAATAAATCAAAATAACTTAAGTGGTACGCAAAGGAAGGTCACAGAAAATTTATTTTATCTGAAGAGCATTTTTTTAATATTAAGCAAATAATTCAACAAGCAGAATAACCGAGTTTAAGCTCAAAGAAGCTTCCCAATTAGTCAGCAGAATACAACGTGGATATTATCCGACTTCAGTACCGGTTAGCTATCAAGAAGTGAAAGCTATATTTTTGTGAAAAAGGTATCAAAACATCGGCACACGTATTATCAAGAAGAGATGACTTCTTCTTGACAAGACAGTTATCAAAGCCTCTTAACAAGATCACGTTCAGTAACTCAGAATGGTCCTTTCAGCAATACTCAGCACCGGTTCATAAAGCTCGTTCAACTCGAGTATCATGGAAAACTAACGTTTCTAATTTCTGGCTGTCATTTAGTCCCGATGTTAATAAGTTGAGTTTTGATTTATGGTCACTTTTAGAGAATATGACATACTTTAAACGCATTGAGCATTTGAAGTCATACATGAGATTGGCAGTGATGAATTTTCCCATGGAGAGAGTGCGTGTTTCTATTGATAACTGACCTCAACGTTTAAACCTAATAGAGATCATTTTGAATTAGCTTCATAAATTTTATTGCTTTTATATTAATATATAAACTTACACATATTGGAGTAATACGTAAATGTTAAATAATAGAAAAAAAAAATTTTTCCTTGTACCTAACAATATTTATGGCAAGACAAAGTGTACTTAATAATTGATGTCGTGATACCTACATCGAGTTTATCGCGATAAATAAATGCTGTTTCGTGTTAAAAATAAATTGTTTTACAGTCCTCATGAAACGATAATATAAGACTGTTAGTTGTATATATTTAGACTGTTGTTCTGTTATATTCATTATTATTTTCTATTTTCGTTTAATTTTAAATTACACATTAAAAGTAAATGATTTAGAACTTTATTTCAGTTAAAAATTATCTCAAGAACGAACCATTTCGACATTTAATTCGAGGAAATGATTCGCCTTGACAGTCGAATACTGCATTAAGAAATGCCAGCGACGCAACAAATCATGTGTTAGATCGAAAATTTTAGATAGTAAATATCTAGAGATTATACACCGAACGCCACTCAGCTCTTGTTAATTTTGATTAGGTTTCGTATGAACAAACTTTTATAGAATCGATAAAAGTATCATTGCAAAATAGAATACTTTTCAGATACATAAAATAATAATAAGATAAAAGATACATAAGATAAAATTAAATCTCTAAAAATATGAATTATGTACAATTGTTAAAAAAAATATTCCACCCTGAATACAAACGTACCTGTACCGTGTACTTACAAATATATAAATATAGTAGAATTAACCATAGTAAGTACAGTATTGTGCTGTCAGTCGCACATGGTAAACTTGCATTCATCTATAATACTTTGATAATTGTGTAGTCAGTTTTTATGGAAATTCTAGAGGAATTACCACCTAAACAATGGCCGCTTTTACAAGAGAAATTGAAGGTATTGTGGCCACTCAACATTCCTGGATACTACACACTGTATGTAAACACCAAGTACCCGGCTTTAAGAGAAACTTTCAAATTCGAAGTTTACTGTCCATATGGGAAGCTGGAAAATGGATTTGTTGCTATAAATGTTAAAGTAATGTTTTTTTTATATTTGTGAAAAATGACTATTGTAGGATATCATCTACGTTTTGGTACATATTATTCGGGCACGCCGTCATCGCGGCGGTGAGACCCGTTATGGAGGATTGGCTCGAGGGGCATCACGGGACCCTCTCATACCGACTGACGCAGGTGATCACCGGGCAAGGTTGTTTCGGAGATCATCTGTGTCTGAACCGCAAGGAGCCAACGCCTGAGTGCCACCACTGTGATGGCCGGACCGTGGACACGGCCCTCCACACGTTGGCACAATGCCCGGCGTGGGTGGAGCAGAGGCGTGACCTCGTGGTGGCCATCGGGGTGGGAGTCCTCTCGCTCGGTAGTATGATTGCCGCCATGGTACGGAGTGAGTGTGCGTGGAACTCCGCCGTCTCCTTCTTCGAGCAAGTTATGCTTGCGAAGGAGATAGCGGAGCGGGACCGGGAGAGGTTTAGAACTCTCCCGGCCCGCCAGGCTCGGGAACGGGCCAGGTACTGCAGACGACTCGGGCGCCGGAGGTCGCAGAACGACTTCCGTCCTCCATAAGCGCAGGCCTGGGGGTGACAAGTGAGGCCATCTGTCGCCCTAAAAGCAGGCCGGGGTGGCGGCGAGCGCGTTGGGAAGCGCGCACGCCCTTCCGGGAGCACAGAAGGAACATGGGGGTTCCCACACAGGGGGGGGGGGGGGGGTCGTCTACCCGTCGTAGATGGCCCGAGGTACGTCCAGGGCACCAGGGATTTCCTTTCTAGGGTACATCTGGTTCCCCGACTACTGATACCTGAGCCTTTTAGCTAATCAAAGTACATGCCCAAATTTTCTATAGAATTTTTCCATTTTGATGGCAGTTTGTTTATCCCTTTTCTGTATAGTTCTGCTGGACGGGAGGCGATGAAGTCAGCGAAAGCGTTTTGTACCTACCTCTCGGGTGTTACATTTTCCCCATTGCACTTAAAAATTGACAAAATTTTGGAACTAGTAGAAACTGTTTGGGGCAAGGTCCGATGAGTACAGTGGGTGACGTAGAACTTCTTGCGATGGTCTATCGCTGTCGCAGAGAAGCAATGAGGAGGAGCGATTAACCAGTCGCGGTGGTTGAAATGCGAGCTTGTCCTTCATTGTTTGCAATCTTGACAATAGACTTCTGTCGTCACTGTTGTGCCATTCGGAATGAAGCTGTGAATTACAAGTTCGGCACTGGTCCACCAGACAAACAGTCAACATCATCTTTTTTAGCGCACTGATTAGGTGCTGTACCTAGGTCCACCCACTAAAACGATTGAACTAATAATGAACCGTGTTTATGCAAGCAATGTTATGCTCGTACACGTCGTTAATGTTTCGTGTTGTTTGTCTTTGCGCAGCGATATTTCCTCGTAGGGACTCACATTAGAAATTTCCAATTGCGCGCCAATCCACAGATAATTAAATCTGAAAATGCTGGTTTTAAAAATCTCCAACTTCATAGTAAATATTATTCAATATAATACTGAATGTTTCTATGTTGAAAAGTACACAAAGCAAAAATTTTGAAACAATGTGTGCTTAATACTCCAGTCCAATAAGTATATTTTATGACTTTTTAAAATAAAAATTACTTTTATATTACTTATTACATATGTGTAATATGGCAATCTATGTAAGTTTAAAAGACTTAATTTATTTACTCCTCCTAATTTTGTATTTTAGTAGTAGGTACTTTTATAATACTCACACATTAATGTGTAAAAAATTGCGAAATACCAATCAAAAGATAAACACGATGCAGTAAATTTCAGAATCACCAAGAAGTAGTATTATTTTCCTTAAGCGAAAACACGAGTAAAATAGAAGAGGCGTTGGTGATGACTCGTTTGATAGATTGGAGCAGGCCTGTTTATTTCAACTTAGTGACCTCTTTAACTTTACCAGCTTTAAAAAGAGTGCAAGCTGTGATGAATTTCAAAAGATTCTTTGTAACGAGGGCCAAAATGTTTCACTTACCAGGCACTACTAAACCATTTACAGATTACAAGTTAGTGATTTTTTTTACTTGTTTATTCACAACATCTACTCTTAATTCAAGTGGGATTTATTTGGTGGGTGATTTTAACACACTTATTTATTTTAACACTAATACAGTCTACATGAATTTACTTTGGTTGATGATGGAAGTCTTGCAAATCAACCCATGGTTTGAGATATTTGTACGTCAATAGGTTGGCTGTTTATTAAGCATTGGACTTTGCAAACCTAGTTTTATTACACCATCTATAGTTGGGTAAGTAATTATCTTCTCTAAAATATATAACAGGGGTTAGGGTTGGCACACAAACTTGTTTAAAAATCATTAATTCGCTCTTAGGCTCCCAGACAAAACGACAATGAAGTCGGTGAAACTAGAAGACATTCAACGAGTAGACGATGCATGGGATTTCAAGTATCCATGTTCAGATATCTACTTCGCAACTCTCGCCTCAAATGGATTGTCTTACGGTCTATATTCCACTGAAACCGACGAGTTACTGGCTTGGATGTTTATCAACGAGTTTAATTACCTGTGTCATTTATACTGTGAGGAGAAACAAAGAAGACGCGGATACGGACAGTACATAATGCAGTGTGTTGTAAACAACCTGTTGAAAGACGGTAATGATGTTTACGGTCACGTCGTGGATGGGAATGAGATGCCTTTGAAAATATTCGCAAAATTTGGTTTTAAATTAGTTGACAATGCTGCCTTCTTAACTGTTGAGAATCCTTTGAATAAAGTTTAAATAGTACCTATTTAAGTACTTATAATTTAATATCATCATCATCAGCCTATCGTAGTCCACTCGCAGACATAGGCCTCTTCCATTGCACTCCACTTAGATCGATTTTCGGCTTCTCGCATCCAGCTCCTGCCATCCATCTAGCGCAGATCGTCACTCCACCTGGCATGTCAGCGTCTCTCTACGTTTGCCTAGACGTGGTCTCCACTCAAGAACTCGTTTACCCCAACGGTTGTCCGTTCTACGGCTAAAATGGCCAGCCCACTGCCAAATTAGGTGCAGAACCGACAACCTATAATTTACTACAAAGTATAGTGTTTATTAATAGTTTCATTACATAATTACCGCCTATCAGTTTAATTTCAATCCCATCCCTTCCAGATCAACTTATAGACAAAATAAAACAGGAGTTCCCCAAGTATAATGGGACCCCTTTTGTTCCTATTGTACCTATATCAATGATCTTCCGAATATTACAAATCATCAATGTATATTATTTGGCATGAAATTTGAGTTGGCGAGATACGTCGAGCGAGTCGCTACGACTTGACGCAATTTGTCGCTTGACGAATGAAACTGGGCACAGGTCGTAGTCGGGCTTCCTCCGACTCGAGAGTGCAGCTTCCTTTGCCAACTGGTCGGCGTGCTCGTTGCCAATGATGCCGACGTGGGCCTTGATCCAGAACAAAGTTACATCTTTGCCCTGAGTCAAGGCCTCGCTGAGCTTTCGGCGCGCCTGGATCGCGAGGGGATGCAGGGTTCGTCACCGTCTCCAGCGCCGCCCTCGAGTTGCTGTAGATGCCACAGCTCCCCGCACTGCAGCTGAGGAGTTCGCTTGCAGCTGTGTGTATGGCCAAGAGCTCAGCCTGGTAGACTGTGCAGTACCCTGGCAAGCACAATTTTCGGCTCCGCACTTCAGCCCGGCTGTCCCATATCGACAGCGCGGCGCCGACTTGGCCCGGTGAGTTGCTGACGTCTGTGAAAATTCGTAGCGACTGCACGTTCTGTTGGTCTACCAGGCTTTGATCCTCCAGACTCTGGAACCTCAAGCTCATACGCAGAGCCGGATGCGGTAGTTCCGCAAATCGCACCACACGTTCTAACTCCCAGTCCCCCAGCACTAGCCAGATCGACCGAAAATTACATCGAAATTACGATATGGGGCAATTCAACTTTAATTGAGGAAATATTTCTATTCTTAAAAAATGCTCACAGGCAATTTGCAATTCTGAACCTCTTACATTCCTGCATTCCTTTATATTTTGGAGTACTGTAAACTTAAGTTCGTACTGACCTACTTACCACCAGCTTCGGCTTCATGGAAATTTACACCGTATGTGATTTTTTATACAACTAAGTTTTGAGAGACGTTCACACAAAGTTTCGCGTCATGAGTCATCACTTTCTTCCAATGTAAAGAAAATATGTTACTTATAAAATAATATAATCCGTGCCATAAAGGCCTGAATAAAAACAATTCTTCAGCATAGATTTTTTTAATTAAATTATATATACAACTTATCTATACATTTAACATGATTATAATTTTATCACCATCTAAAAAATAGAATACTAGTAGGTCCCCATTTCTAGGAGAGCATCTATTTGTTCAGTCTCTGGTACAATATCGATCTCGATCGGCTCTGACTTCACTTGTCTAGCTTTACTGTCCAGAGTGAAGAACCTGAATAGCTTAGACAAGTTTATAATGGAGTAAGCAGACTGTGCCAGCCAGTCCTCTACCATTTCTTTCAGCTGTTGAAATGCATTCGCAGTTTGAGTAGATATGCGTATTTCTGAAACACACCAAAAATATTTTAGTATTTTTTTTGCTTTTTGTTGATTATGTTATATGTGTAATAAATATTGATAGTGAGTCAACTCCTTTGATTTGACTGCTAAATACCTACAAGACTGTCTCGACTAAAATTGGGCAAGGGTTGTCACAAAAACGATCACGATCGTAGATAGCTAGGTAAAAGTAATATTTGACAAATTTAACTATATTAAACCTACATAGCAGTACCTCGGGTTCCTATTCCGTTTAAAATATTGGATAAAAGGTTAATCAAATTATATAAAACAGGTATAAATTATACATCGGAGAATATTTTATTTCGTTTCGTGATTTCAATTGGCGATAATACTAGACAAAGATTTTGGTAAAATTGTATTCTTACGTCCGCAGACGTCGCGGTCAGGAGGGGGAAGCGCTCTCCTTCATAATATAATAATATTTTAACACATTTTCGTCTGATCTCAAACTAGGGAGAGCCTGTACTATAGTACCCAGACTGCTGATAAACATACTTATGTATTTCTAAATACAAACATAGATAAATTACACGCAGACACAGAACAAATGACCGTGCTCATCACACAATAATTTGTCCTGGGTGAGAATTCAATGACCTTTGGCATAGCAATCAGGGTCACTAACCACTAGATCAACAGGCCGATCAAACTTCATGACGCACCCCAGCGTTGCTCCTTCAAGTAGCTCACTTTAACTGAAGTTAACTCACTATTAGTACTTATTACACATATAATTATGTGGATAGGATAGTAGAAGGTCTATATGTATTCTGGTTATTGTGTTTGGTTGCAGATTAATTTTCAAATTGAAATATAAGTAACTGAGCTAAGAAATAATAGGAGCAGCCATATGGTAAAATTGGTATCTAGCGTTTGTTATTTATGTTACTTTTGCAAGTCCAGGTGTGTATTATAAATAAATGAAACGGTAAAGACTTACGGTTTAATTAAAGCTCAGGAGTTTCCTCATACTACAACTATGTGGAAGCTCCTGTTGTCAACAAGAGTGTCGGACTTCATCATCATCAGCCTTTAATAGTCCACTGCTGGACATAGGCCTCTCCTCAGAAAGGACTTATACCGACTAATTTATAATTTAGCTCGGAATAGAGCATATAATTAATAGTTTTGTATCGACTTACTTGTATTATTATTTTTGGTGAGATCGAAGAGAAACATGAAGAAATTAATCTGTAGATAGAGGTCTTTCTCCGTGTACTCTCTGAACATGACCCCCTTCTCGCAGAGACGACAGAGCGGGTAGCCGCCCGCGAAGCTCTGCGGCAAACGCACGGAGCGCTGAGCGCAGGCCGGGTCCTCGCACGACAGCCAGCCTGCGTAGTACTGCGCGTGGTACTGCCTTATCTGCAGGCTCAGCTGATTCTGAACGCTAGCCAGGTAATCCACCGGCCTCAAACTACACTTATCGTTCTGACACTTATCTAAAAACGTCACACTCTCCTTGTCCAATTTCACAATGTTCTCCCTTATTTTATTCACAGTTTTACAATTTTCGCCGACGCACACGAACGTGAAGTCTTTACACTGTCTGTACTTCTCTTGTTCGTTTTCCACTTCATACGTGTCGGTGTTCGCGGCTTCCCTTCTGACGATTTGTCTGTAGCCGGACGGATCTAGACCGAGGCAGTCGGCGACTCGAGCGGGGTCCATACCCTCGATCGGCTCGCATATTCTAGATATGACAGGGTGTAATTGGTGCGCTAAGTAATACGTAAAATCTACTTTGAGGTGTTCAGAGTTCTTTAGCTCTTCTATGTGATAAGCTCTCTGCGTTGCCGAATTGGCAGTGCCGTCTTCGCAGATGATGTAAGGGACCACATCACCTTTCTTAAATCTTCTACTATTCTTATTATTCAATCTTAGAGCGACCTGCACGTGTGGTTGGGTGTGTTTGTCTGCGTATTCGTTAGGATTTTTCGTCAATTGCTTTGTTATAGTCAACATAGAGAGTGGCATTTTACCGCTCATTAAATCCTCCTTCAACTTATTGAGGTGTATTTGAATACTCTCGAGTCTTTCGTCCGCCGACTGTTCGGAAAGTATTTGACTTAAAATGAATTTACCGGCTTCGGCGGCCAGCTGTGACCAATCACGGCGAACTATGTCCAACCCTTTATGCTCCTGAGTTAGTACAAACTCACCGTTTTTATTTTTACTCATCAGTACGGCAGCGTATTTCTTTTTCTTTAAGAGCAAAAGGTATCTAAATACACCGTCGATATCGAGTTCGATTTGTTTATATTTTTTGTTTATTTCTTTCTTCAAATCGACGCCTATTTTGAAAACGTTATCGTAATCTAGACAGTTGGTGTTTATCATTAAACTATCAGTGTCGCCATAGACGACGTCATAGTTTGATTTTTGGACTATTTCTTTGGTATCTAGGAGGATTTCTCTGCCCTTCATTGTGACAAGTGCGGCCAGGGGCTTCGCGTAAAACCGTGAGTGTGTAAAACCTAAACAACCGTACATGGAATTTGCCGTTAGTTTGAGCCCCATTTGTCTTATATTGTACTGCATGTACTGTTCGGGTGACAAATCGGGTGTTTTCATTAATTTCTTCACTTCGCGTCTGCTTTCGACGAGTTTTCGGATTTGCGTGGGAAGCACACCGAGATCTGTATTCGATGTCGGCAACACAAGATTGGCCACGTCATCATCTGAACTGGAAGCAACTTTTCTCTTAATAGTTGTAAAGCAAATGTTGTACTCTTGAATAATGCTAGGGTATAAGGAATTGAAGTCCATTAGTAGAATGAGTTTGTCGTAGAAACCTTTTTTAGGATCTAATACAAGACCACCTGAGTAGGCGGCTTTCTTTTTGCCTTGCTTCTTAGAAACAGTATTATTTCCTTCTTGCTCCTCGTTATCATCATCCGCTGCAGCTTTTTTACCATAAACTTTATCAGGGACGATATAATTTTTCTCTGTGAAGGCATGGAGTAAAAGGAATTCGTTTCTCTCCGATCTTCCTCCCAGCAAAGTTCGAGACATTATATTGCCAGCGATTTGTGTGATTTGTAATGCTAGTGGTATGACGTTCAATTCACACATTATTTTGAGTATGTATGAAGCGTCTTGCATGCTAAGTGAAACAAGCTGGAAAAGATCTCTGCTGTTTTCGTAGTAGCGAGATACGTCTTCGAGAGCGACGTCCACGCGTTCTCCTTCTTTCATCTTGAGTATGCTCACACATAATGTATCTAGATCGTAACTTCTCGCCCGAATTAACTCCATTGCAGATATTTTGATGTCGCAGACTAAGCGACCCAAGAACGCATCTTTTGCTGCAAACTTCCTCTGCGGTGGAACTGATCTCTTCAGCCGACCAAGACGTGACCAGTTTGGTATATGAAGGTCGAGAATGTTCCCGATAAGTAGATCTTGTTGGAACCCTTGCAAGTCATGGCCGACTACCAAGTCGGGGTCCATTTTCCAGAACTGTACCATAAAGTAATTGAGTAGCTCCCTTTCAGTGTCACACTTTGTTAGTTTCGTTGCTTTGTATCCAGCGATAGACTGCTTCAGATCTAGCGGCCAGATTTCGTTACATTTTGTAATGACTGAAAAGAAAAACAATTATGAAAATCTCTTAGTCTTTTGAGTGTGGAGTTCACATCATCAATAACTTATTGTAAATAACTTTTCTACTTACTACAAAAGTGTTGTTGGAACGGCGGGTTCGGCGGAGGTTTGTGTATTGGAAAGTTTGTATGCGACAGACAACTTAGCATTAAGATTTTTGTCTTCTTTGTTTTGGGATCCATTGCTGTCCTCATGTTTATCTAAAGAATAAAGTATACATATAATGTATATGCCCAAAGTGGTGTTGTTTTGCGAATGTCGATGTACACCGGCGGCCCTGACAACTGACGAATGTTATAAGAAATTGAACATAAAAGGCAATAAGTTCAATACTAAGTTAATAGTAGTACCTATACTAAGATCTAGCTAGTCCCTTAGTAAACACAACATCATTTTGAGATACACTGGTATATCTCAACGTGTGCCTATATCCAACATCCATAATGCATAAAATGATACAAAATGATGAGATGACTTCTATAAAAAAGTAGTAGTTTTACTAACTGATAGTACTTTATTATAATCTAATCAACATTATTGTCAAAAAAAACTCACAGTAGCAACAATAATTGGAGGTGGTTCTAAATCCGCATCATTTCTAATAACGCTGATATGTTCCATCTTCTCGCAGGATACTTCTAGCTTGCACCAAGACACTTTAGCCTGCACTTGCTCAGGGTGCTTGATCTCCAACCAACAAGGCCCTTTGATTTTTCTCTCCAGCAAGAAAGTTTCTAGTGAAGAAGTGTTAGTACCAAATTGTTGGGAAAATGTAAGATATTTCTTTTCCTTAGGCGGCGGCGGGAATGAAGCCTGTGGAATATAATAATAATATATCTAACACATCTCACATACGGCTGTCTGATCCCAAACTAGGCAGAGCCTGTACTATGGTATCCAGACTGCTGATAAACATACTTATATATTTTTAAATACAGATACAGAACAAATGACAGTGCACAATATTTCGAATTCGGAATCGAACCCACAACTTCGGGTCTGGCCGATCAACTGCTAAGTCAGGGTCACTAAACACTAGACCAACAGGCCCGTCGAATTTGTATAATACATGCATATCATAGTAGAGATAATCCGAGAGTTTTAAACATTTGTCTTAAAAAACATGGTTTTGCACACTTACATTGCAAACGCTGGTTAATCGTTACAAGATAGACCAAAATAGGGTACTATGGCATTGTATATCTTTAAAAGATTCACAAAAACGTCAGCGTAATTAATTACTTTACACTGACACCATATTTGTAGTATTAGTAGAATCTACATTGCAACTGTGCGAAGCCGGGGCGAATCGCTAGTAACCTTATTAAACTTAGTTGAATAACTAATAACAATATGTGCACAAAATTTGCTTACAGAATATCTGACTTCAAGATAATCAGACTGTGCTGGTATGTCAGGCAAGTTGAAGCAGTAATTCTTGGTGACCTTGCGCGACTTGAACTCCTTGAGACCGAGGTTGCTAGCCACTGAACTGTTGAACTCTTCATACATATCCATCATTGTCACCTCTTGGTCTGTGGGTTCTAGTGTTACTGGATCTAGTTTCTAAAACACAAGATTAAATTCTAAGTGAAATGTACAATACAAAGTCTGTTGTTGCTGCCTATGGTTGTAGAATTTACTACGGTCTCGAGGAATGTACCTTTTAAACATTAATTATGATAGATAAAGAAATATTATGTAAATCCATATTTGAATTAACATAATGACATAATAGGTGTAAATATCTTTAACTTGCCTGATGTTTTGATCAGGTTGTAGTGGCTGTGATCTGAGGCTAAGGCACCCTATTTCTTATCTTAACTTTATTGTTTTTACATATATTTTTTACTGGTGTAACAAACAGCTGACAGGTTGCATGCTTGTTTGTAATTTTATTATAAGTTATTTTGTTAACATAACTACTGTAATTTATGCACTGTAATTTATTTTACAAGAACTTTGACTTCAGTTAGAGGCAAAGACAGCGAGGTACTTACATATTCTCTGGGTAAAAGGAAGATCTGCCTATTTACATTCTTAACAACAAGGCAGCAGGAAATAGCTCCCTCTTTTTTCTTAGATGGATTAACATATACTTTGCCAAATAAGTACACAACACCTGGCTTCACAAACCTATCCTCCCATGCATCAAGCCAGTAGAACTTCATAATTTTATCTCCATTCTCATTAGTTTGTAGTGGCAACTGAGCGTCTACCTGCACATTGACATTTACCACTTGATTTTCACACATTTGATCAGGCCAAGTACTTGTAAGAGGTTTGAGTTCTTTTGAAGATTCCTTTTTGGTTGTAAAAATTTCAAACTCTTCATTTAGAAATTCTTCAGCCACATCTGTGATAGTCTCCCCTGTACTAGGTAACACTTCTTTCTTCACTTCAGATTTTTTAGGAGTAGCATCATTGCTGAAGTCATCATCAAAATTTAAATCTTGAGTTTGGAATTCTTCTATGTCCTGAGTAGCAGAGTCTTCTAGTTCCTGTTTTATTTCTTTATCTATTTTCCATTCAGATTTTTTTTGTACTTGTTTTTCAATAGGTTTTGATGTGCTGCCATTTTCAGTAACTAGCTTTGGAGGTACTTCCTTGTTGACTAGGTTTTCCTACAACAAAACAAACAAAGATAATTCAAAATTCTAAAATCTACAAAATACAAACATCCCCCTTAATACAAAAATCCAAACTATAATTCAATTAGTTAAAATCAGTCCAACTATTTGGGAGCTAAAATGCGAAAGTCAGACCCCAAGATATATTAAACTTATAATAATACCAGACTGTTTCTCCTTTAGGGGTAAAAACTTAAAAAAAATCTAACAACTTTTTTTGGCTACACATGACTGTGACACCTCTGATCTGTATATTTGAGGAAAAATAATTTAGATAAACAACAGTTTGGCATTTCATAGATATCTTCACATAGTACACAAACTGTGCAGCCTGACATACAGGCACTGCACAGAAAATAATCAGTCATTTTTAAGACACAGAAATGATAGTTTAAACTGATACTATAAATGGCGAAAGTATCTCTGCTATGTTTTTACACCATAACGAATTACCCATTTATTAAATTTGACATTGTACCCTTTCATAAAAATAATAATTCACATCTGAGAAAAATGAATTTATTATTGAATTAAGTCTTGGGCAAAACATGGATTGTTATAAATAAAGATAGACTGTTGCTTAATTAACACTTCAGTAGTTACTTCTTATCTTATACTATACCTAGTATTTTTATAAAAATATATAAATATAGAAATGACTTTCAGAATTCTGCTTACTATAAGAGCAAAGAAATGTATGAATATCTCACATTGTCCTGTTTAATCACTGGTTGTTCAGTCAGTTGTGTGGCCATTGGTTTCTTCACAGAGGCAGAGAGACTCTTGAAGTAGTTCTGGGCATCTCTTTTGCTCGAGTCCACTATATTAGCCTTTGTTGCAACCGGCTTGGGCTTAACAACTGTTGATGAAGCATTCCCATCTAAGTCCGACATTATGTCTGATAGAATATTGTCTTCTGATATTTTTACCTCCTGAAATTAAAAAAATTACATATTTTTAATTTAAATAAAAAAAATTAAAGGTTATTTTTGATCCAATTTTAAGTACTGAGCATTGTCTTGTGTATCAAACAACATTAACAATATACATAGTTTTTAGATATATAATATTAAGAAATAACACGGGGTGATTTTAAACACTAAAGTTCATACTAACACAAAATGGTTTTAAGTATTTTTTTTTTCTTTGATAAGCTTGATAGCTTCCGCATTATGCATATATCTCTACTAACTCAAAGAAACACCCAGACTTCGAACAACAATTAGTGGATCATAATGTTGTCCCATGTGGGGATTGAACCCACAACACTCAGGGCAGTAGAAAGCGGTGTGGCTACCACTTAAAACACTACGCCATCCGTGCAGTCATTTATCTTTCAACTAAAATTATAGTTAATTTAAATAGATCTTTATCTTTATACTTTAAAACAAAAAGGTTGACAATCCTGTAGAAGTTCTGATGTGTTCTCATTTTATATTTAGCACTCACCTCTTTCTTCTTAGTGGGCATTGATCCTAATAGATTTCTAATATTTCCTTTAGATGTTGGTGGTGCAACCCTTGCTTTTCTCTTCTGACCTCTACCAGCTTCCTTCTTAGTAGATGCCTCATAAGAGTCATCAACCTCATCATCATCAAATATCTCTCTGCCGTCCTCCACATAGCCAGTCCCATCTATATAACATTCAGACACAGAGGTGAAACAATTCTTAAAATTTAGAAAGTTTAGATAGAGAACGATATTAAGGTTTCTTACATACTAAGCTAATTTAATATTTCTCCATTGTTGCCTTTATAAGGATTTAAAAAGTTCTAGTTTATGTATACCTTGATCTAAATTATACAGAGGTTACAGACAATAACCAGATATGTACATAAATTCTTCACATATTCTTTAAGAGATATTGCAAGTTTGCAGTTAAAACTATCACTGAAACTTACCATCATCATCAATCCAGTCGTCTTCCTGACGTTGCAGCACACGTTCTGTGTATTCCTTCTCATCAACCGTATCATACACATTCTCCAACTCATCGACATCATATTTATTCTTTACACCTTTGCCTTTTAATTGTTTTAGTCTTTCAAAAGCTGACATACGTCCATGTTTGTCGATTTTTTGTCTTTTCGCTCGTTGACCAGCTGAAAATAGAAATTACAGTTCGTTCATATAACAATGTCTTTAGATGTTTAAAAGTTATAAAGCTACTGGTTACATTAAATTTTCGTAAATCTTACCCAAGGAATCTGCCATTATAAAGTTTTATGCATGTGCATTTACAATTTTTGTTTTCTGTCATAAAAAGTCAGCGAAACTATCTGACAATTTACTTTTGGCGGCAAACAACATCACAGAACATATATACCCCTAAAGGGGAAGAATAACGACTCCATACTATTTTTATGAGGAAATTTTTCCTTACCGGCCGGCGCCATCTATGCTCCGCCCACCAAAACTAGACAGTAGAAGCTAGGGCGGGAAATTCAAAACAGATACTTTGTATTGCATTTTATGCACAAGTACAGTGCGTTTCTCGATAGTGTTCATCAAGATGGTCAATTATTTCTCAGCAAAAACAATTGACATCTAAACGACATCACTATCGAGAAACACACTGTACTTGTGCATAAAATGCTGAAAGCAATATTTATGGAACAGTGTAATAAAAGAAACATTAGTATTTGACTTTTTTATTTAGCATAATATTCATTATAATTTATCAGATATTCATATTATAAGCAACTATATACTAATTTTACATGAATAAATGTGTTTTTGGATTATATATTCATTTGGGACAAAAGGTGTTCACAAGTATGTGTATGTAATTTTTTTGCGTGTGTTGTGGCCACCCTCTAGTGTCAGAGCTTATTAAGTCGCCTCTGGGAATCCCACAGGCCTCTGACGTGGCGTGTATGTAATGATAATTAATCACAAAATTTATCGCTTAATCTAAACACAAATTAAACATAATATTCTAAAAATGAGATACTACATACAATTTGAAAATACAGCAAGCATCTTCGACCATATGGTCTATTGCATACAATTTTAACATCAAAAACCTAGACAAGGTCAAACACAAGTTTACACTTTACAGACATATATCATAATATTATATAATATGTATTATTTCAGTTTAATAAAATAAATAAAGAAATGGTTAACAAGAGAGATACTTATTATTTTTGTTGAAGGTAGACAGATCTGACCAATTTAGCTACACTGTCGTCCATTAATAAAACAAGTTGTAAAATAATAAATAAAGCATAATCAGCCTATAATGAAATGAAATGATGAAATGATATTTATTTCTGTAAGTAAATCTTTTCAGATATTTTTACAAGTCGGACTTTATAGCTAGAAGGAGCCGGCATTTCCTAAGACTCACTCTGGGAAGAAACACCGAAACAAACCACAGAGGTGTCTTTTTTTTTAAGTCCGTAAACAAAGTTAATTAAAACTGTGCGAGTACAGTATAGGGTCTGGATAGGCCTTTTGAGGAAAGGATCATAGTTTTGAGTCAACCTGTCCATACAGACGGCATACAGGCTCCAGCCATCGTGTAGCCTAACCGATATTGGTCAAGATCAACGACCCGAAGCATGACACTACCGCCAGCAGGACATTTGGGTAGGCCGTGGAAACACTCAAAACCACCAGAAAGATAATAAAAAATTAATTAACATTACAAGACAATATATTGGAATATATTGTCAATATTGGATCTCATTATTTTGTAGTTTCTATCCAAGTTCCTAACATTGTGATAACACGAAGTTCCTGACGGCACTTTTAAGTCTAGGTCTTGGAAATAGTACTTCTAGGTATAATAAAAATCTAAAAAAAATCTGTGCGTTTCGTTTTACTTACCTTATTATGTAAATAAAGTTCAAAAGCGAAAATTTGTTAAAAATCACTACCCCGGGGGGAAAGGGTTAATAATCATATTTTTAATTAAGTTTTATCTAAATAACAATCTAAACTTTCTGTATTTTCTTTGATTGAAAGAGATTTAAAGGATGTAAACGAATAGCATGGAAAGTACTTAGGTAGGTACATACCGCAGAGCATTTTTTGAGCCAGGCTTAGGAAACCGATGCAAAGTGATGCTGGAATCTTTAGAAGGTGAAGATCCACACATGCAACAGATTCTAGTGTTTTCTTTCTGCGAACTCATTGCGAAAATTAAACACACAATCAAACAAGAGTCACTATCTCAACACCGAGTCTATATCTCACAAACACACACTTAATTTCACCAAAACACAGCCACGGAGGAGCAAACTCGACTCACGGTAACAATGTATGTAGAATTAAATGCAACTAGTTTATTTATTACAAATAAACATAGGTACAAGATAAAATGGTGCGGGAACCGCAGGCAGACATTTTTCTTGTGACGTCAAACGTGTTGCCAGTAGTTGCCACACATTTTCCCCCTTATCTTTTTTTTGTTTTTGTGTATTGATCAATTAAATATGTTATATTTCTTAGCAAAATAATTTTTTTGGGTATCAGAATAATCACAAAATGTATTTTTAAGGGTGACTTTCTTTTTTAGCTCATTGTTTTGGAGAATACGAAATTGTATTTTTGGTGGCAACATTTTATAATTCATCTCTTTTACTCTAATGTTGTTTTCTCTTTCTTGTTTTCAAGCCCACCTACATCTTGTTCTAAGAACAAAGTTGACAGACCCTGAACAACATAACAAACTACGACGAACTACGAACGAAGTACGAAACGAACGTTTTTTAAATTCATGGTATGACATTAGTCTTTTAGCCGAACTAGGAAGTCAAAATAGTTATTTTTTCAGACTTTAGAAAAAGGTGGCAGTTCTTCATTCATTTGTATTTTTTGTACCTCAGTCACTTACAACTCTTTCACAATACGTATTATGAACCGATTTGAGTGATTTATCTTTTTTTAGGATGACCAACTGCTCGTTTGGTCTCATTCAAAACAGGTTATGACATAATCTACTTAAGCAGATACGGCACGGCACGTTGGTGATACTTTCGTCAAATTAACTTAAAACGATTTTTTTTTAGTCACGTTACTTTTTAGTCTTGTAACATTGAACAAATCGTCAACACGAACCACAACGAAAACTGTATCATTTCGCGCCAATTTCTGTAATTGTCAAAAAAAGTACGAGCTACTGCATCTTGAATAATTTTTAAGTTGTTCATTCTTACTGTCTTGTACTAAGCAAGCTTTTTTTATTGTTTTCAAAATGGCAATGCGGGATTATACAGCAGATAAAGGTTAATATTATTGAGTTAAACCTTAAGGAACTTTGTTTCATAGTTTTGTTATTGTTGTATACACTGAGTAACATCGATGTTTCAGAATCATTTAAGAACTTTTTTGTGGATTTTTGCCAAACTGACGATGAGGGAAATAAGAACTTCAAATATGCTGAACAGCTTTCAAGAGTCGCACATAGAGAACAGGTAAATATTTTTCAGGTTACAACCACATATGTCAAGTAAGAATTATATTTTTTGTTTACCTCGACTTGATGACTTGACGCAGCCAATATTTATTTATCACAGTGCTAAAAAATATAGACGGCGCTCTTTCGGCGAATAATCGCCTATCAGTTATCACCTATAAAAAGTGGTCGGATAGTCGGCTTTACCAACTATTTGGAATATTTCTAGTGTTTATTGAGAAATGTATGAGCCTGGTTCATGACCATACGCCTGCCCTCTGTTATGTGAGTGAGTCTAAAAGTGATATGCATATGAAATATATGTTGATATGCCGTATGTCTACTTCTGTGGTTATAAATTTCTTGAGTGTATGAATGGATAGAACTTATATACTACTACTATAACTCTTTAATTCTTTATTAACTATATAAATACCGCGTACGTTTCTTGATCTTGAGAGCCTTAACCCTAGAACGCTGAATGGGGTGCTGGATCACCCCAGAGAGATTTGTTTCATCACCTGTACAAGCACTGTGGGCTACATTTGCCCCCCAGTGTAGGAAAATCTGTCCAAAAAAAAAACAAACAAGCTAATGAAAGCAGTAAAAAAAATTTTTGGGTTTTCTTCAAGTATTCAAAAGTAAATAACTAGCATAACAAAAAGTTCAGTAGGTATGTAGCTCATTCTCGAACATTTGGAGGACCGTTATCTGGTACAAACTTTGAGGCGGGATATAAAAGAATTCCTTTGGTTTGATCCTCAAAAATAAGGATCCTTCGACACAAGAATGTTCCAAGGACACTGGACAAACCAGGACAACTGACAAAGATCTAAAATACCTACTCGCTTAGAGCATCCAATCAAATTTGTACAAAAGTGTTAAAACTAAAACTAATTTTATGGAATAAAGCTGATTTGTAATCTTCTAATTATTTTAAACAAACAAAATTTTCATTAATTTTCTTTTTATTTTAAGAAGAAGAGACAGTGAGTACGGAGTGTGAATAACATGTGCGCTAGATAGTGTAGGGTTCTAAGGTTAAACAGGCATCATTCAAAATAATATAACATGTATATGTTTCATTGGAACCATTCCCTTAGAGTTCTATTTTCAAATTCGATTTTTTTGTATCTTACAGACAGCTTTCATAGTTGAACTAGATGACCTGAATGAAACAAACGATGAGCTCGCAGAAGCCGTCAAACAGAATACAAGGCGCTATACTAACATGGTGTCCGATGTGGTGTATGAGATGCTTCCAGATTACAAACATAAAGAGGTAACTACAATGTCATTGCAATGAACTCTTGTTTTGATATTTAAATGTCAATTGTGATTTGTAGTCAGCTTTTGACGACCGGATGGCGTAGTGGTTTGTGTAACAGACTGCTCAAGTCAAACATTTGTGTGCATGAACATTTGATGTTTGATATGGTCTGGGTGTTTCTATGTATAATATCTATGTATTTACAAAAAAAAAAGTATATATATATTTATATCAGTTGTCTAGTACCCATAGTACAAGCTCTGCTTAGTTTGGGACTAGATGGCGTCGTGTGTATGTGGTAGAATATTATATTATTATATTATAAGAATATTTATTTATTTATTTAGCACCTTATGTACCATGTTTGCAATGACAGACTTAATGCTAAAAGCTTCTCTGATGGTCTAGTCTACTGGTGATATCAAAAATGTTATAACACTACACACATCTGTGTCATGTCTGGCCCCGATAGTTAGAAAGACGCATGTTACGACAAGCCAAAATGGATTAAAAATATTTTAATAAATTTAATGGAAAATCTTTTGCCGCCTTTGAGTGAATTAAAATAAATTAAATATAAAAAATTTGAATTTATGGGCATGATAATAGTTTTAAACTTTAAAATTAGTGTTGGACTTAATATATTTTTATCACTTGGTGTTAAGTAATAAAAAAATAAATATTTTTAAGTTATTTAATTAAAAATGACAAAAATTTGTTTCATTTTAGTTTAAAAATATATAAAAATACTACTTTCTCAATTGAATAGACGCAAGTAGCCACATGCGCCTTTTAAATCTCAAACGGTTTTATGAGTACTTTTAGTCTAACTAATTGTATGTAGATCTGTACTTTATGTTTTAAGAAATAAAAGTGTTTTTGGTTATATGCGCCTATTACTTCAGTATTCAAAACATCTATCTAAGAAAAAAATACGAAAGAAAAAATAAACATATAATTTTCTATTAATTGTATCATCTGACTCATTAACCTGAAAATAGATTAACCTACTGTATATTTATATACAACACCATGTATTGCAGTATCCAATTGTATTTATATTTTTAATCACTGATTGCATCAGTATAGTGTGTAACAACCTCTCTGTAACAACATAGATCCTAAAAAGTAAAACAAATTTGGATTTAGTTTGATTTGTTTAAATGGAGATTAAGGGGCCCTTCAAGAAAATCTGTTAACCTGTTCAAAGATTTTCAGACCTTTTTTTAAAGTTTAAATAGATTTTTGAGTCTGCAAGTATAGAAGTCTGGTGTATTCTTCGTACTAAAGTATTCCATGTTTTAGGTTGTGACCAAAGATGCATTGGATGTGTACATAGAGCACAGAATCATGTTGGAAGCTAGGAATCACCGGATCCCTGGAGAGATGAGAGACCCACGTAATAGATACCCACCAGAGCTAATCAGGCGATTGTAAGAAATTAATTATTTTTCTCTACACTTGAAGCAAAGAGTGTGAAAAACAAAAGTGGTTAAGAATATAACCAACAGCTAGCAGTTGTGTAAATTGACCCTTAAAACTTTTGATTTGTCTTGCAGTGAGGTGTATTTTAAAGACATGTCGACAAGTAAATCATTGCCGATCCGGGAAGTTAAAGCTGAACATATTGGAAAATTAGTTACAATTCGAGGTGAGTTGATTGAATGAAATTATAGGTCATGCATTATTATGTGAGCCAGTTTATCTTTATCTCGAGGAGTCATACAGTGAGCTCAGGGTAAAACTTACATAACATAAGAAATAGTAAAATTATGATACTCCATTTGAAATGACATGTCATAAAATATTTTAGAGCCTTTGCAGATTGCGCATATGAAGCGCGTTAATGCTCTTTAAACTAAATTCATATGAAGACAGTAAACCATTGCAAATGTTCAAAAAATAAATTAAATTAAATAAATTTGTATTTTATTTGATTCATATGCATGTTACATCTCCTAGCTGCCTACACCAGAATCGCTGATTAATGGGTTAAAGCTATTTAAGCAATATAGAAGGTTTGACGGATTTAGCTGATTCGGCGCCTCTTGCCGCTGTTCCGCGTTCTACGCCCGCGTATGCAATGATAAAATGTGCAATGTGCAGTAAAGCTGACCTTAATTATAAGATAGATTAAACAGCGTCAAAACAACTTCGGTACTGGCATCGTCAGAGCTTTAAAGAAAGGTTTATATTCCAATTTCTTAAAGTAATTCATTATAAGTAAATTCATTTACTAAAATCTCTGTAATTAGCGCGTAAGCGCGATACAGACGAGCTTTGAACGCGCTTCACACGCGCGTTGTTACGATACAAATACGAAAATCAGCTTTTTGGTGATGTACAGCGCTGTAAGCACGCGTTTGGAGAGAAAATACTCAATAATTATATACATCATTATCTAACAGGTCACACTATCATTCTTTTATCGTTGATTTATAACTTTGTGGTCTAGTATTATCACAATTTCGCCAATGTCATGTATTTAATTTAAGTGTGTGTGTGTTTCTTATAACAGGTATAGTAACACGCTGCACAGATGTGAAGCCATTATTGGTAGTAGCGACATACTCGTGCAGCGCTTGCGGTGCGGAGACATACCAGCCCGTTCGCTCTTTACAGTTTACTCCCCCACCCTCATGTACTGCAGATGAATGCCGTTTGAACAAGACAGCTGGACAACTACATTTACAGACTAGGGGTTCAAGATTCCAGAAATTCCAAGAACTTAAGATACAAGAACATGTATGTATTTTTCTCGTCTTTTAAAACTATGTAGATATATTGTGATCATACACAAGTTTATGCCAATTTTGATAGTTGATATAAGTTAGGCATATTGATCTTACTCATATAGGTAGTAGCTATTTAATAACTAAACTACATGTGCCTGTATAATATGTTCCACCGGTTTGTGGTCTTAAGAAATTAACACTGACTTTAAAAATTACATAAATTAATTAATTTTTAATTATTATTACATAAATTTTGTGTTCTGATGTCTTGATACAATTTTCTTTCTTACAGTCTGACCAAGTACCAGTGGGCCACATTCCACGACAGCTGTCGGTCTACTGCCGTGGCGAAACTACTCGACGAGCTCAACCGGGAGACCACGTAGCCGTCACTGGAATATTCTTGCCTTTGCTGTCCTCTGGGTTCAGGCAGATCGTGCAAGGACTGCTCTCTGATACTTATCTTGAGGCCCATGTAAGTTGAATATATTTTGATCATAAAAAAGCATTTTTCTCTCTATCTTTAATAAGTATTTGGAGTGCACTGATAGACGCGTTTTTTAAGTTGTGTGTTTAACGTTAGAATTTTTACATGATCAAAATTGAAATTAACTGTGATCAGAATTACATACATATACTTTTTATTCATTAGGGTGTCACTTGCCTCAATCAAGCAGATGAGAGCGAGATGGCGGAGGCACTCACTGAAGAGGAACTGGCTGAGCTTGCTGATGAAGACTTGTATTCAAGGATGGCAAGAAGCCTTGCGCCCGAAATATACGGACATGAAGATGTGAAGAAAGCACTGTTGTTATTACTTGTCGGCGGAGTTGATAAGTATGTTGTATTTTTTAAAATATTCGACAAAAGTGTATTTTCAAAAAAAGATGTGAGGAAAATCTAATTATGGTCTAAGCATATAGGTAGGAGAATAGTGAACAGTACAACTGAATATTAGTTAGATTTAATCTAAGGTAGATTAAAAGATGTCTACTTCTTGTCTAATAGGTGTATTACTCAGATCTCAAACCCCTGCTTGTAACTAGTGTATCAGTTAGTCAATTTGAGTCAGTGCATGCATTTATTGTTCAATCATGGTACTTCTATTTATATGCAGACGTCCAAATGGTATGAAGATCCGTGGTAATATAAATATCTGTCTGATGGGTGACCCTGGTGTGGCGAAATCTCAGCTGCTCAACTACATCGACCGACTGGCGCCGCGCAGTCAGTATACGACGGGGCGGGGCTCCTCCGGTGTCGGCCTTACTGCTGCTGTTTTAAAGGTAATCAGGTGCTTGTGAACTCTTACTAATAATGTGTCTCATCTGCTAGTGCATGAACTTGTGTAACCACATCCTTAGTCTAAGGAATTAAACATTATGTTGGTATTAGTTGAGCATTAATGAATTTTTTTATAAAAACTCGGAAAAAATACTCCTTTTGAAAGACGTAGATGAAGATGTGCGGATCAGCTAGTTAAAAGAAAAATAGTTTTAAAAAACTAAAAAACACGCTTTTTATAGAAAACCAAACTAAAAAATAGTCCATCTACAAAGTTTGAATGAATTCTGACCGTTTAAAGTCAGTCAAAATCACGTCCAAAGGAGTCGGTTACAAACAAACATATAAGTGAAGCTAAAATAAAGCGTGTAAAAAGGGTGTATGTTAGCTCCGACGCACGACTGGGGTTCACTCGTTAAGAACGATTCAGCTTCACACAAGTATTACAAGTTATAGACACACATGTGAAAGATGCGAACGATAAATTCAATCACTAAATTTTACTCTTTAAATTTTTTTTATACTTCCCAGTATGAAAATCGATTCTTAAGGAGTATAGTTTTACTTGATCCATTTCTCACTTCTCTGAATAAGTTTTGTAAAACAATGTGTAAAATGCTCCATTTCCCGTATAGCATTTGATATATTAAGAATACTAAGCATATTGTATTATGTGAGAAATGGCAATCTCTGGTTTAAATTTCTTAATAATTACTTAAAGGTTCATCATTTAATGACGAAATTAAAATTGCTTAATTTTTTGTTCAGGATCCATTCACTGGTGAGATGATGTTGGAAGGCGGTGCGCTAGTGCTGGCCGACCAGGGCGTATGTTGTATAGACGAGTTTGACAAAATGGCCGAGAATGACCGCACAGCTATCCACGAGGTCATGGAACAGCAAACCATAAGCATTGCCAAGGTAAAATCGTTGTTATTTCATTACAAAAAATTATAATTCAGCCAGAGTTCAGTTATAACATCAGGGGCTTTATAAGTGTTTACTTATCTGACCAATACTTTTGCAATGATGTCAATGAATTGTCAATAGAATATTAGTCTTGTAGTGCTTGTACTGGTTTGACCTCAGGCTTTCCTTGGTGTTTAAAAGAGATATTTCATAAATTGCATTAATATAAAAATTTAATTTAATAACAGACTTTGGCAAAGGCATTTGTGTAACCAATACTAATAGTGAGTCAACTTCTTTGATAGACCGCTAAATACCTACAAGACTTTCGACTAAAAATATGCAAGGGTTGTCAGGCAAAAGTAATATTTGCCTAATTTAACTTTATTGAACCTACATAGCAGTATCTCGGGTTCCTATTCCGTTTAAAATATTGGATAAAATTTTAAACAAATTATAACAGGAAGGAAACAGGTTAAAGTTATACATTTCACCAGGGACTTCCTTTCTAGGGTATACCTGGTTCGCCGGCTATTGGTACCCGAGACGGCGTGCGGTTTTAGTCGGTTCGAGTCCGACATGCCACCGACAGGTGGTATCCGAGGGGATTTCCGCACGGAAAAAAAAAGGTTAAAGTTATACATTGGAGAATATTTTATTTCGTTTCGTGATTTCAATTAGTGAAAATAATGGCAAAAGATTTTAGTAAAATTGAATTCTTACAAGCATGTTTTTGCTGCATCTTTCTATCACGACATTAATGTAATTATATGATATAAACATATAATTAAAACTACAAGTATTTTTGTAATGAGTTGACTTATTATTAGTTTTTATTACACATATGGCAAAGGTCTAATTTTTAGCTTACATTAGCTGCCATAATATCTCTCAATAATAGAACTCTACTCTAACAAGAGTGTGTCATATTATCCAGTGTTTGTTTTATGATCAGATAAACGATTTGGCAATGCTTGAAACAAGCACAAATAAGCATTGACTTATCATTGATCTGTCTGTTCTGAAACCTAATCCTTCCAATTGCTGTAGGCGGGTATAATGACGTGCCTGAACGCTCGCGTGTCCATCCTGGCGGCCGCCAACCCTGCGTACGGGCGGTACAACCCGAAGCGGACCATCGAGCAGAACATTCAGCTACCTGCTGCATTACTCTCAAGATTTGACCTGCTCTGGCTCATACAGGACAAACCTAACCGGTTAGTTAGTTATTCTTGCAATCTAAAACTTGATTTGTTTCGAATAGTTGACAGCCAAGGGCTTTTTAAATTTTGTGTATCATAAACATATGATTTACTATATTTTAGCACTAATAGAATTTATAACTTGTAGAGTTTGTTGTATTGCTTTCTAAGTAAATTTCACAAATGATTGTTTGATTAAGTGCTAAAAGAAAATATTAAATTTATACAATATATGTTACAGAGTTAAAAACACGTGAAAACAGCTACAAAAATGTACAGTATGAATGTAACTGATTGATTACTATACCGAAAGTTTATATTCTGATAATTTAACTTACACTGGTCAACGATATAAATCAAAACATTGTAAATTGAATATTGTTAGTGAATTATGCATTAATAGATATTTGCCATTTTCAATCCGATTTAGGTAATTAATTGCAAGAGTAATGTTATGAAATGAACGGTAATGCTGTTTTAGGCAAAAGGCTAGCATCTAATCTGAAAATTTAGAGACAATCTTTACTTAATTTTTAATACTGACTTTTTAGTATTTTTTTACTAGACAATAACTGAATCATAGTCGAATTCGATTCAATCGATTATTTCGAATGAAATTATAGCCGTTTTGTATGTATAAGAGTGACATGTTCTTTATTAATAGGCTTCATTCATAATTTATTATGCTGGTTATGTTATTAATAGTCTTGGAAATAGGCGTAAGTGGAAATCTATACATATAAAATTACTTGCCCTGACTAACAACAAGAGCAAGACAGAGCCTAAACCGCTGGGACTACAAACTTAAAATTTTGGTAACTGAAGAAGCAAGATTTTTTGGAATTTTTCACCGTAAGGGGGTACAATAAGGAATGAATATATTTTCGGAAGGTTATCATTTTCAAAGTTAAAAATACGAAATATTCACGCGAGTAACAGCTAGTGTTTTATATAATTGCGTTTGTCAGATTATATTAGCTAGCTGTAATAATAAACGTTGCCGCGTGGTGACGTAATAAGGATACAGAGTGCCACCAGCCCTTCGTCCCGTGGGTGTCGTAAGAGTCGACTAAAGGAGTAAATTGCAGAACAACAGCACTGCAAAGAGAAGGAAAACTTGAATCAAACCCTACCCGTCCGACCAGAGTGGTATAGTAGGCCAAAACCTACTTTCTAAGAAGTAGCCGATGTCCAACGTGGACTTTTTAAAGGATGGCTGATTTTCTTGTTTTGGTTGAAAGCGTAATTTTTAAAAGGAAGTGTTGTAGTAAGTTACTGTTACTGATGTTGTCGTGCCGTGCGCAGCGACAAGGACCTGGAGCTGGCGAAGCACATCGCGTACGTGCACCAGCACTCGGCGCAGCCGCCCAGCGAGGTGCGCGCGCTGGCGATGCGCCTGGTGCGGCGCTACGTGGCGCTCACCAAGCGCAAGCAGCCCGCCGTGCCCACGCACCTCGCCGACTACATCGTCTGTGAGTACACCCCACTGATCGACACGCTCACATACGTGCACCAGCACTCGCCGCAGCCGCCCAGCGAGGTGCGCCGAGTGCTACGTGGCGCGCCTCGCCTGCCCCCTCTAACATAAAAAAAAGTTAATTTCATTAAAACATTTCAAAACTCGCACGAGTAATAATACCATATTTAATAAATAAATTTAAACAATTTGAAGACTGTACCTACTAACACCTTGATTAGTGCCTTCTTAAAATAATAATTTGTTACAGCATCATACGTAGAGCTTCGTCGCGAGGCTCGCAATGCTCGTGACGTCACGTTCACGTCCGCCAGGAATCTACTCGCCATACTGCGCCTGTCAACTGCACTCGCTCGACTTAGGTGAATGTTTATTCTCGTATGTTTTGTATAAAATAATTACAATTTAGATTTTGTTACGCATTTTGAATTCAACAATAGATTTGAATTTTACTTATGTTAATATAATCTCCATCCTCTTTTTTGGAAAATTAAATTATTATATTATTGTTATTATTTTATTAAAGGTTATCTGATGTAGTGGAAAAGGAGGATGTATCGGAAGCAATCCGTCTCGTCGAGATGTCTAAACAATCACTTTCGCCTGTTGATGAAAATGTTCAAAGGTAACGTACTGTTAACTTAGACTCTAAAAACTTACTCCCACAACTTCCTGCGTTGTCATTATAGTGATTAAAGTAATCCCCCCAAATAACATTACATATCGTTATTTTTCGAGGAATTGTTATTTTTGCCACTGTGTCGTGAATAATATTGAACGTATTATTGTTTTATTGTAGGGGCATAAGTGCAACGGATCGCATATTTGCGATAGTGCGTGACGTGGCGGGATCCAGCCAAACCGTCAAGATCGCTGATGTTATCGAGCGCTGTGTAGACAAGGGCTTCAAACCAGACCAGGTAAGTTCAAATAACACAATACTAGGTCACAGTAGCAGGCCAGGCTTATGGCGCACTATAGTCCATTAGTTTAGGTTATTATGCATACACGTACGTGGTTTCGTCAACAGATCAAACCAAATCAGTCGGCCGATGTGTGTCGGACGGCAAGCACGTGTAAGGAACAATAAACCAAAAAATGTACTAAAATTTTATTCGCTCGACGCAAGCATTAAAATTCTTTTCAGTTATATTAATATCCTTATGATCAGTGATGGAAATAGCGTAACACATCCGATGTCACACACAACTAGTGTTAAGCAAAAGGGAATGTGCATGTCTTTTTTATATTTTAAAGGTTTCTACTAGTCATTACATTACCAAAAATAAATATAATACACCCGAAATAATAACCATTTAGCTAAAGAAATTACAAAAATCACAATCATTTTCGGGCGATTTAAACTCGGCCATTTTGGCGCGCTTCTGTGACGTCAGATTACAGAGAGATCGATGTTAACAACAAACAACTGTTTGGTTCACAAAGTTACTGAAAGTTAAAAAAGTGAATGATACAAACAACTTATTACCATGGAAAAGCACAGAAAAGTTTATTATAAATATTGTGTCTTTCCCACATGTCAAAATAACATCAAAATTGCACCTGACAAAGTATATTTCCTTATGTCGAAAGATACAAGTATAAGGAAAAAGTGGTGCAAGGCGATGAGAAGAGACAATGTATCGTGTTTTAACTGTTTATACTGTTGTCAAGATCATTTTTACTTAGTTACCTGCACATCATTTTTTAGATGATAGATGATAGATGTTTTTATTTTCAAACTTAATTTCAAAGTCATATAGTTAGGTCCTTGCCCGTAGTGTCGCGGCTCTTTCAATTCATTTGCATTGGAATAATCCTAAAAATCGAATATATTAATAACGAGTCATTTTCAATCCTGGCGTCTTAAAGTGTTTAATAATACTTAAAATTCATCTGATATCAAACTGTAAACGAAAACGCATAATTAAAATTAAAACTATGTAAGTCAATGTGTTTAAATAAATCTTTGTAGGCAAAAGTCACTCGTGTCCAAGTCTAGTGTATACGAAGATTCACTAGATTAACTTAAAAATTATCAGTGCACAGTATAAATGAAAACTTTCATTTTTTGCAAAGAACAGAATCAATAGTTTCCACTAAACTAAATATTTTTTCTTAAATACTAAACAATCAACAATTTACTTTTCAAATACATCAACTGGCTTTGAAAACTTATAGAATACGAGTACTCTGTTACACTTCATACTTATATTTGTCACTGGTAATATGGTCAAGATCTGTTCCCATTTAACATCAGAAATGTCATTATCATGGAAATTCATTGAAAATCTTTAAAAACGTCCTTGATCTGTCCTTCTTCATCAAAATCTGACGAACATACGACAGCATATCTATATTTTTTTATTATTAATATGGTATTCCAAAAGTACAAAATCTCCTTTCTAGACAGTCATAGAAGTGTTTGCATTGTCTGTAGTATTAATCAGAAGAGTAGATGTTTGTGCAACCATTTTGTTTTGCACACCTTCCTTAGAATCGGTGTATGCAGCATCAACATCCAATTTGTTTTATTCTTACTTTGGGGGTATTTAATGTCGCCTATGTGGAAGTGAAGACAAAAAATGCTAGAAAAGCAGCTGAGGCTCTTCTTGTACAACGAATTGTTAAGATAGTTTCCTCGTACTTGATGTACTTTTAGCGTACCAGTAAAATGTTTGATATCTGGTCGATTATCTTCCGTTATCTTCTTTTGAAAATCAATTTCTTTTTCGGGTATCACAAAAATTTTGTCCTGTCATTCCAGCCGGGACAAAATTTCCGTAGCAAAGTCGTCAATCGTAGCAATGTCAGTTCCTAAAGCTACATGAGCCCAGATTACAGGTACATTATGGTTTAGATTTTCGGACATTGTTGCTAAACAGTTTAACGTAATACATGCCATCTACACACAATAAACATTGCATTGTGCAAATATACAATTTCGTAACGATAAAATATAAAGACATATGCTTATCAAAGGAAATACTCCAACGACTGGCACAAACACGCTTTCCTACAGTGAAGCGCAAACTGACTCAATATTATTGGAGTTTTGCTCAACGTCGTTAGCTTGCTTCTAACTTCACTCCGTTGTACGCGCGTAGTTCAACGACAAAAACATACCTTTGCGGTTTTAAGTCAAATTTTATTTCTTAGAGTTTCGCCAGATGAAGTGACATATTTGTAACATGACATGTTTTTTTTTTTATATTAATAAATATTTTTACAGTGTATTTTGATAAAATATGTTTCGATGTTTATGAAAGCATTATAATCTAGTAATGGGGGAGGCCAGAGTAGTATACGTTTATAACTATTTTAAACTATTAATGCCTTAAACTAAACAGTTATCGTGAATAGACTATGTGGGCCAAAAAAAAGACCATATTCTTTATTGTTTAAGTATACAGAAACAAAAATATAATAGTTTAACATAAAATTTGTCTAAAGACCATTGGAATTCAAATAGCGCATATTCACCCATTTGCACATCTACAAAACCTAGTCTCTTGTAGATATCTATACTTGCTGAACTAATATAAAGAGCTAAAGCTAGCTAAAGAGTATTGTTTATCACGTTAATCTCTGGAAGTATCAATAGGATTCGAAAAAATGATTTTGTGTTGGATAAATAATGTATTAAGGAACGTGGCTTTAAAATTTTGCCTATGACTCCTAGCATTAAAACAGTAACTGGTTTATGACAATATGATCTTTTTATTTATTTTTTTATAATTTACTAATGCCGCCGTCAATAGAGTGTGTAATGGGTGTAGAAGTATTGTATATGTACTTTGTTCTAGGTGGATGCTTGTATTGAAGAATACGAAAATCTCAACGTGTGGCAGGTGAATCAAGTTAGAACGAAGATTACATTTATGTGAACCCACCGATGAATACTTCACAAATTGGTTCTAGTGTGTCTGACGGAATACTTTGTAGTTCTGACCCAATGATTATGAGTTTTGTTTAATAAAGTGATTTTCTAAAATCTTTTTATTTAATTTGACATTTCTCTTAACTTTGTTCTTAGCGATTGCTTTAATTTTATTGTGGTAGGAATGCTGATTCAAAATTTCAAGTTTTTTTTTTAATTTGGCAACTATTTTTAGTTATAGCAGACATGTTTTATTTATTTAATGTTTCTGACATCTAACACACAACGCCATCTAGTGTCAAACTAAGCAGAATGAAATCTAGCTATTATAAAATCTAGATTGGTAGAATTCTTATATACGTTTTTTTTTCGTAAATACATACACATTTTACATAGGAAACACCCAAACTCCGAAACAAATATTTGCAGATCATAAAAACATATGGTGCGCTTCGGGAATCAAACCCGAGACCTCAGCACAGCAGTCGCATGCGCTACCACTGCACCACCGAAGCAAATTGAATCGAATCGGATTTAACTGAAAGGAAAGAAAACAAGTTTATTAGCCACAATAAAAAAAAGAGACAACGTAAAAGACAAAAAATAAACGATAAACATAAATAAACGTTATTGTAGTACGAAAAAAATGCAACATGCATTTTTACTTATGAAGATATGTTTATGACTTAACAAATTAATATCTTTTAACTATGAACACACGATCTGAACCAGTTAGAAAACGTAGTGTTCATTTTCTTTCTATTCAGTAACTATTCACGCACTTTTACCTTTGAATGGAGTCATTAAGTGCGTACCAGCTTTCACAAATATAATAATAACCGTATCTTGTTCTTTCATACCCGTCGTTTAGTAGTTCCCGTAAGTTGCGCTAACACCGGTTTCTACTCATATATTACAATTTTTCCCTCACATTATACGCAGCCAGAATTTAGTTTTATATTTTCCTGGAGTTGCTCTTATGAAAGGAATAATACGTAATAACAGATGTAAGCGTTGCTTCCGACGAAATTACTTCAAGTTATTTGATAGTTATATAACGTCCATATTTTATTCTAATTCTGAATTGCGTGTTTTATTCGACCTAAATCCGTAGCAACTACAAAAACCGAATGCCGTCAAAAAAAATAATTATAATAAACGAATAAATATAATTCAATACTAACACTAGTTTTTAAAACACATTGTTACTAACACTATATGGATGTAATAGTCCGAAATAAATAATTTGAATTTGAATTTGAAAAGTGTGGGACCGTGGGTATTTTCTTTTTCGCATAGAAATTACGTGGTGTGTGATGGTGTGGTGAGCACAACCAAAACAAAGAAACTATAATACTACATACTGATAAATTTTTAATCATCATCACCCCACAACCTCCTTTCTAAGGAGAAGCCTATGTCCAGTAGTGGACTATTAAAGGCTGTTGATGATGATCATGATGATGCCGAGATCGGTCAATCCGATTTCCCTGGTATTGCACACTACACAGACTTGCACACTTGCAGATTCTTGTAGATCTTTTCTTATGGATATTAAAAGACTAGGTTGAAAAAGAAATATGCACCTAACATAATTATCATTGTAAATATGGTCAATTACAAAAGCGACCTATGTCTTACCAAATGAAAATGCCGAAATAGCTGGACAATCAGTGGCTTTTGTCCATTGCCCAATAATTTAAGATTCTCATAACAACTTTTTTAGTTTTTACCAAACCGTCGTAAACTTGTAACTAAATCATGGCCAATATCAAAAGAAGTAAGTAAGTATTTTTCTACAGATTAAATTTGTGTACGTCTTTATAGCCAGTCTCTATACCAAAAGAGAGGCGCTGAACTGAAGACCCTTTAACCTCAAATTATTTACTTTCATAGAGATATAAGAATAGAGTGCACAAGAGCTCCAACCTTGAAATATACACCGTTGAGAGATAGATAATAGATAGTTCACTGATAGAGTGAGCTCTGTGAGTGAGCTCTTTCTAGTTGAGCTCTGTGGTTGACTGGGGAAATTTCAAATCTCCCGCCTATTCTACGATCAAAACCATGCCCACTTCACAATAGCCAATCGCAGCTTAGCTAAACAGAGACAGAGGGAAATATCGGGCAGCTTTACCCCGTGTTCTCTCTATGCTTGTATCTCTAATGTTAACTTCACTTGGAATTTTTACTCAACACCCTCGTACCCCTCTTTTTCTTTTTTCCGTGCGATAATCCCCTCGGATACCACCACCGTGGCATGTCGGACTCGAACCGACTAAAACCGCACGCCGTCTCGGGTACTAATAGCCGGGGAACCAGGTATACCCAAGAAAGGAAGTCGCTGGTGCCCCGACATACCTCGGGCCATCTACAACAACAGGTAGACGACCCCCCCCGTGTGGGAACCTCATGTTCCCTCTGCTCCCGGCCTGCTTCAGCTAGGGTGACAGATGACCTCACCTTCTTGTGCAAGGCATATAGGACGGTTAGCACTGAGGCTTTGCCGGTGTTGGCGGGTGTGCTTCCGGTCGATCTCGAAGTGCAGAGACGTGCAGCCATGTACTATTCAAGACAACAAAACTTGGAATGCGATTTTTTGGGCGCGCGGGATCGCGGTAAAATTACAAGATTGCTTCAACAGCAGTCCGATGTCTATAATGACCTCATAGACGAATGGCAACAACGCTGGGATGAATCATCCAAGGGGCGCGATCTTTGCCAATTCTTTCCATCTGTTCGCGAACGGTTGTCTAGGACATGGCTTGAGGTGGATCACTGTGTCGCTCAATTTCTTACGGGTCATGATAACTTTAAGAGCAAGCTTTATTCATTTAAATTAGTCGAGTCACCATTGTGTCAATGCTCAACACCTAACTCTCACTATGAACAGTCTGCTCATCATATCCTCTGGGAATGTAGTCTTTGGTATAATGAACGTAATATAATGCTGAATACCTTGCAGGTGACATCTGGGGCGGTATACTATGGGGATCTTGTGTCAACTAGGGTGAATTTCCGTGCGTTTAGGCGATTCTGCCATACATATTATAGAAATCAAATATAGCTCACGTAGGACCCGTAATATTTCGTGGCCGTGGTGCTTCCCTGTTTAAAAGGGTGTATGCCCATTTTACTTCATTTTGTCTCCCGCTTTGCTAAGGAGGGAAGTGGATTTACTGTATTTCCAACTCCTCCAATTTTCTTCTGATTAATTTCGTTGCGGGTTCCAAGACAGTTTAATTTCTTCCTGGGACTTCCCGAGTGTCATAACTCGGTGTGTTCGTGGGTCACTGCTGTGGATCCTGGTGTACAGGAGTTACAGTGGTGGGCGTGTGGGCGGGATTAGATGACCTCACCTGTCACCCTCAGGCCTGCGCTTATGGAGTAAGGAGGTCGTTCTGCGACCTCCGGTGCCTGAGTCGCCTGTGGTACCTGGCCCGTTCCCGGGCCTGGCGGGCCGGGAGAGTCCTAAACCTCTCCCGGTCCCGCTCCGCCGTTTCCTTCGCGAGCATAACTTGCTCGCAGAAGGAGACCGCAGAGTTCCACGCACTCTCGCTCCGCACGATAGCCGCAATCAGGCTATCGAGCGAGAGAACTCCCACTCCGATGGCCGCCACGAGGTCTCGCCTCTGTTGTACGTACCCCTGTAATATTTCTAATATTTATTTAGGTCTGGTGTAACTATGGCATCGAAAAATTTGGCCAAGAATATTTTAACAAGCACAAGTAATTTTCCATCCACCGGTCTGCCGATTCATAACATGCCTGTAGATTGTTTATAGAAGCGTATGAGATTTTGGTATTTGGTATTAGTTGTTTAGTAACTTCGATTTCGTTCCAGTAATGTAAAGCCTATTATTTATTGTAATAATAACAGTATGAGGTCAAAATCGTATACCGGTAACTTGCGGTTGCTATGAAATGCGATCCCTAAACCTTAGGCGAACAACAAAGAATGTTATGTTATGCTTAAGGCAAGCAACCTTGTGTGAAAGCTTTGAAGAAAGAAAAATCAACCTGATCAATGGCTAGGGCCAGCGCTTCCAGAGTCTAGGGTTCTAGAGGTAAAAAGATCTTGACTCTGAATTATGATGGTCAAGCGCAGAGGGGCACACCACGTCGTTTTAAACGGTTCGATTCCGATAAAGCCCGGTAGGGTGATGGCCTGAGGGGCTTTCCGCACGTAAGAAAAAAAGGGCCAACGCTTTATCGCTTTTATAAAATACCTTGAATATATCTAAATGTTTAAAAGTATTATAAACTCATAAGAGACTGTTAAGTGTGTAACTGGACAAGGGGTAAAAAAAAACAAAATTTATTGTACTTCTTTTTAAGTTTCTTTAGTATTGTCGTCAAATGTATCTGTTATAAGTATAGTTATAACATGAGTGTTGACAACTGAAAATATATAAGAGCCCGCTAAACGAAATCAGGTCACGATTCCCTGAACGGATTACATACTCGTATGGATCGTGCAAACCTCGGAATGATAAGAAAACATTCGGCGGCCGGAGAAACTGCAAAAGTTCAAAGTGAAGATTTTTTCTAAACGACCCTACGAACAATATCTAATCTCCTATACCATCAACGGGTATTAGAAATAATATCGAGTATTGAGATGCATCACTCTTTGAACAAATAGAAGAAAGAATTACGAGTGAAGGGATTTCTGAAACATGTTTTTTTATGGTGTAGAAGGCAAACGAACACATGAAGATTAGTGACCATGGACATCTTAAGTGTCACAAGTGCATTGCCGTCTTTTTACGTTCGACGCTCCTACCAGTAGGGGAAGTTGGTTGAGGGATTTTTGGCTTCGGTAACACCGCTCCAGTGTCGAGGAGACATGTGTGTTCCGGAGCATGTCTCCCCCCTTATACGTAGCCAGGGTCAGTCGGTTGTGATGGCACGTTGAAGCTAGTAGTAGCCCGGAGGTTCTTGATGCTTGATTCAACATCGATCGAAGTGGCGTGCTATGGGAGAGGCCTGTGTCCAGCAGTGGAC